TACTGAATTCAAAATGGCCACTACATGTAATGAAAAATTGGCATTACATCATGTTATGTTATAGATTTCCTTATTTAGACAATATCACTGCCCCATTTTTCTAGTTCTGCTAAAATGGTACAAACAATAGCAAGTAATGCTGATAATATATTGAAGAAGTATGAAAACTATTTGGGCATGCCTTTCCTTTATGGATCTCCATTAACTTGTCAAGAATCTCTTGTTTTATTTTACCATGCTGATTCATGAAAGCACCGGATGTTCATTGTTCATCCATAGAAGATAATGTATAACCCAAATATAAAGTTCCATGGTCTCTTTCTCCATGGAATAAAGTAAAACCAAGAGGAATGGGCAAGGAATAATGCAAATACACTCTCTAAATTGTTATCAAATGCTTCATTCAAGCCATGGAGAGAACAGGTATGATTTGGCACAGAGCTACATATTAACAATGGGATTTTATCACTCATTGTTGACTGTTGTGGGATATTTTACTGTCCATGTTTCCTGATCTCATTCATTTAGTGGTGTCATTAACAGGATCAAGTGATCTTTCATATTATCGGACAATAATAGAAAGTGTTTAGTCATGGTAGTGCAATTGTGCCTGTCAAATGAAAAACAATGAATTGCAAAAAACAATATATCCAGCTTTGATGACCTGTTTTTTTTAAAGTCACTGTGAACAATGAAAGAAAAAACAGAATTACGTATTGAATTATTTGTTGTTATGATATCCGCATCATCTTTTTGATACAAGTCGATCATGATTACATCTCCATTAGTAATCCCATGGAGACATGGACTTATGTGATGTTGTTTATTTCTATTGCTATTGGAAGGGCATCCTAACCCAACTTCGATTTGGGATTGCGGATGATCTTTTATGGGCCATGCGTGACGCTCGATTGTACTGAATCAAAAAAGGACATAGAAGAGCATGTTTATTTTTCAATTCTTGCATGGAGTTAGTCTTTATTTAACATTTCCATCAACAAACCATGGAAATGCTTACTTCCGGTGTAATTTGGTCCCAGTTAATCATATCACAAGTTCCTTGTTTGACTGTTTGTTCTTTTATAATCTTATGTTTGTGAAATGGTAGCTTTTATCTTTGATAAATACCAGGGAATATTGCAAGGCAAGTTCCTGCAACTGCCTGCTTGTGACTTTGAACACTGAGGGAATTTAATGAAGGATCTAGAAAGTAATTAATGGACTTGCATTGTTTTACAAATTACCAAAGCACCAGTGCCTTCTCATAGTTCACATTTTCCTCTACAGATACATAACAGATTGATATGTTTTGATAGGTATAGGAAATCAATTTTGGATAATCCATTACTATTTTTTCCTTAAGATGTTGGTATTCTTCAGCATGTTAACTCATACACAATTTGATCTTGAGTAAATAGCACTCTTGTTCTTAATGTCTTTCTGAGTCAAACATAACATTACAATCACTGTTTTACTTATGTATAATTCAAATATCGGGGGCCGATAATGCATTGCCTCAGTCCTAATATTGTTACAAAATGATGTAGTTTAATTTGATGATAATTAAAAGCCTTAAACCTAGTAATTCATCAAATCTTTCAAAATGTTTTGCGTCATCTTCCGCTCATCTTTCCTTCATCCATTTAACATGCTCAGAATATAATACCGGTTGTCAGAATTGGTATTTTGATTCCAGTCACAACCTTGTGTTCAACCCACATCGAAGAGATAATGAATGATTTTCACTTTAAGAACAAATCTTTGTAATCTTGTATGCTTGCATTCTACGTCAAACTTCAGATTTAAGGCTTAAACAGATCAATGAGTACGAAGTCCTGTAAGAAGGCTACTTTCGGATTGTTTTGATTGGATCGTGAGTATAAAAAAACATGATTTGACATTTGCTTTAAGACTCATGTAACAGATATAGATATTCCTTCTGATATTCTTCACATTGTCATGAATTTATGAATTCATATTTGTACAATTCCTAGAATAAACTATAATGATGACAGAATACATGTGGTTGCATAGACTTCATGTCTCTGATGGTTAACATTTCTTTAGTTCTCTTGTCTTATTTTGAACCAGAAATGTCAGTGTTGAACAAGGTGTTATGCTGATGTCATATAAAGTCTAATTATATATATATTTGTACCTTTTCTTTTTATAGTATCGTTACATATATTTTTTATTGACTTATAAGCATGAAAGTGTCATTGGTACATGTGTCATTTTTCAATTATTTAAATGCATGCAAAAACATGTGCATGAATGATTGACAGAATTAATCGTAAACTTGACAGTGATACCATTAATATTTATATTTTATAATAATTATATATGCTATTATATATTGCTATATTAGCTGCACATGTAAGTTATATAAGATGCACAAACATTCCTCAAAAAGAGGAAGAAGATTTTACAATTACAGAAATATTTATTATTTCCTCAGATTGTCACCATGGTTACCTTATGATCCTATATTGTACACCATTATTGTTAAACAACGTCAATTAGGACATAAGTAATGAATTGTTATTGCTTAATGCACTTAAGACACCCTGTTAAGACTTCATAGGTTTCTTTATCTTTCACTTCCGAATGTCTACCTGTAGCGATGGTCAGATTAGGATTCTAATCCTGTTGTATCTTGTACACCTCTCACCATGACGTGAGAATAACACAAGGTGCTATTTTGGCAGTAGTCGATCGACAACTCTGTACCCATTCACCCGTGAGAACTGATATTCTGGCTAACTGACACCCTTGGGATATTTATCACTAATCAAACAGCATGATATTCTTTTTATTATTATCCCAAGCATTTTCCCTGGTAGTATTTTATACAAGGTCCTCATGTGAATAAAGTTTACAATTTGATCAGGAGATTAGAAAAAATTTATCCGGAATCCCTGGATTATAATCCGGACAGATTATGAATCATAATCTCATTCAAGGGTTATCTATTATTTTTGAATTGTCAATTTGATATCTTGCACCTAGATAACATGTAGGCATTCAAAGCTTATACGTTAATCCTAAAATAATAGGATATAATAATTGGCTACACCTCGGCACTATTGACCAAGTGGATTACGATAATTGCTTATGCCTACAAGATTGAGTGGATGCATCATTCGCAATACGTTGTTTCCTTGTTTTGAACTGAGGTCAGAGGTTCGGAAGATAAGATTAGTGCATGACGTTTGTTTTCAAATTTAGGTGTTTTTAAGAGGATGTCTAATTGACTTTGACGGTGTTTTTCTCTCTTTAAATACTCACATTTGTATGTGACAATACAGCCATTTCCTTTCACTTAGTCGTAATTTATTATGATTACTTCTAATAGTGCCATTATCATACAGTGAAATCCTTCACTTGGGACCAATCAGAAATAATGTTCAAGTTTGATGGTTTACATCATTGAGAGGTAGATTTAACATGGGAGCCAATGGGCGGAAATTAAAATGCGGTCTGTTCAAAAGTGTTCACCTTACTGAAATATTCTCCATAAATGAGTGTTCAGTTAGTCTAACTACAAACCCCTGTGACCCCCCCCCCCCTTCCACTACTTGACTACGCACCCTCTCACACAGGTGGTGAAGTGTGTAATGGAGGGGGGGGGCTCATAAGGGTTTGTAGCTCGATGTGTGTTCCATTTGAGTTTTGCTGTATTTCATTTAATCCAAGCACATGTTTTTTTAATTGGTTCCGCATGCCCATTTTCAATTTAGTTACCTCATGTGCATACATGTGAATCTTGGAATTATGTATAAATGGAGTATTTTAACCTACGGTACTTGTGCCTTCAGTTTAATAGAATAATAGTGTCTTAATTTGAACCAGTCATTAGGCATTAATGCCAAGCACTCATAGTCCCCGATGATGAAATGTCTGTAGCATAAGTTAACTGATTCTTCCCATATGTTTATCGCATCTCTGTATTGGATGATTCTGATTGGCTCGTGGAGATTCCTATGATATAAAACCAATTCACTCGATGTGCTGCGTTAGAAAAGTTTCAATAAGCATACAAGCAGGAACTATACTAAGAATAATATTAGCTAAGAACAATTATATCTTACACAATATGGACATATTTTGTTGAACGTTATATAATAGCAAAATCAGTGAAGGATAAATGGTTAAATCAAACAATATGAGTGTGGCTACAAAGATTCTGCGAAGGTTCAGCTTCTCTAAGGGATACAAACACAGGTAAAGTCTACATTACATGTTCACCTTGTCGATGTAGGTTTGATAGGTTGCAGATGTAGGGAAATGTTTTGTCTAAAGTCTGATTTAGAGAGTGATTCAGTATCTATGGTAACTAGTATAGGAAGAAGTGCCAGGTGTAGAGAATGCAGGTTGATGGATATACTATTGTATGAAATAGTATCATAGTTGGCCTGATGTGAACTTAAATCACTTAATTTTTTCTGTGTATAAAACCCGATAAATTGCTTTTTATTGATGAAATATTTTGCGATTGAAAATATTGTAAAGAAGATCTCAAAATGAATAATAATGTTGGATGTTAACCTCATAAAAACTAAAAATGACAATATTGTTCAGATTAAGTTAAGACAACCTCTATAAAGATAATTGATTGTGTTGGTAGTAGACATAAAAATCTATAAAAGAAGTATGTTCTATATTACATTTCCTGTTGGTCTCTGAATTATTCATAAATACAATTCTAAATCAAGAAATAGATATTTATGTTGTTTTTGTCACACATATATCAATATTATTGATATGTTTTGTGATGTATTGCGCTAATTAGAAGCCCTAGATATTCAAGCCTACTTAATGGATGTATAACTATTGTTTTCTTTTCACATAGGGCTTTAAATGACATTTCTCAGATACAGAAAATGCAAATGTGAAAATTTAAAACACAAACATTGTTTATTTTCATTGTTTATTTACATTCTTCTTATTCATTGATTTGTCATTCAGAATATTTATGTGTTTTATTTGTGTGTTTCCAGTATGAATGAGGAAGATCTCACACCACTAGATGTCGCTATCATGACAAACCATGTCCCAATGGCGAGAATGCTCATCTCCAATGGTGCCAAAGAAAACCCAAAATGTAAGTTTTTCACATTGTACTATAATATACAAAGATTGAGATTTCAGCATTGATTCAAGTGCTTCCTCTCTAACTTAGTATCCATTTTCCCATTGGGGGTACAATGTAACCCAGGGGATTGGAATTGATAAAATGGAGAAGTTAAGAGAATGAAAATGGGACAGGGGGTATGAGTAAGATAGTCATAACACACTTAATAGTTAAGAATGAATAATATCAGCAATTATGACTAATCAATCCAGATAAATAGTATGTACTGTATTATTTATTATTTCCATTTTAATCTATTATGGAAGTTTAAATTAATAAGTCCAGCTCATAGTTTGTATGTGATTAGGAAAGATCTACATACATTTGTTTCTGATACATCAATTATCATCTTATTCAAACTAAAGGACCTAGAAATTTGATAGATGGCAGCTTAGTATAATATTTTTATGCTTTATGCAGATAGTATGAACCACTTGAAGGAGAAAATAATGTTCAATACATAAGACATTCCCACCATCATAATAGTATTAGGGAATGACATTTTGTAAATTCTGATATAATACTTTGCCCCCACTGTTAGTAATGAAGAAGCGCTGAAATATCATGCCAAGATACTGAAACAATGAACTTCCACATATTCGCTATTTTTAATATCTATACATCTCAAATGGTGAATGGTGTGAAATTAATTAGATTCTCACTCAGAAAAATGTGAATGGCACGTAAACTATACTTAGTCTAAGCTCTTACAGTTCATTTAGTAGCAAGGAGGGTTTATAGATTGCATATAGGGATGACATTTGTCATTAGAGTGCTATTATTGTATTGTGTTTACCTGAAATTAGATATCGTGTAATTGCATCACAACCTCCCATCACACATTCGCAACCTCTGAATTATTTATTATTTGGGGTGTGACATGGTGAATAAAGTCATTCTACGCGATGAGATAGATGCCATAAAAGTGGTGATTTCCGCGTTGATATCACAATATGCGTACCTCCCTGTCAGGCTGTTAACATTCAGGTTTTTTATATGAATTACCTCATTTGATTGATATTTTCACAACAAGTCATTGATCTTGAAAAACAAAATAATTGACTTTGAATTATGTTTCTCATATTACCTATATTATTCCCATTTCATTTCTCATCTCCTTATTAAGTAGGCGATACTTTTGAATAGAAGTTGGTTTTAGAGCAGTAGATTCTAAAGCCAACTGTTAACAATGAAAAGAAAAAATCATGGAAAATCATTTGAGACTATTAAGACTGCACTGTGGGCTAGCATAGACACTGGGATAACCATCTTGTTATCTGAAATTAGGAGTTTTAGGCTTTATATTTTAATCATATGAGATGCAGTTAATGTTCTTTATGAAACTGGGAGTAAATTAGATCTAAAAAGTCACTGTCCTTTAGTAAGATACCATATTACCATTGTATTTATTAAACATTCATGGTGTTGCTATGGAGAGATCATATGATGTATCTGTGATTGTAGGGAAAGATGCTGAGCAACGTGCAGCTAGATTAAACCAGCACATCACTGATGCGGAGTTACAGTTGCAGGATATAACAGCCATGGTACTTAAAGATGCTAATAGTAACAACGTCTCATCAGTTCAACAAAAAGTAAGTTATTCACCTTGTACTTTTTTAATTTGAGAAAACTATTTGGGTTTACAGCCACTAATTAACCTTAGATACCCACGGAGAAAAACAGCAGTAATGTGTTTCTTCAAAACATTTTTGGTGTTGTAATTTGAGATTTATCTGGGAAATTTTGTGAAGTTTTATTTTTAATCTGGCTTAAGGTAGATTAGTGGTGTTATGCCCTTAATTTACCTTAATTTACCCTTAATTTTGATTTCTTTGATCAAATTTTGATTTGTTAACCGTTTGAACCCAAATTCTTGGTTAATTATGTTTTCATATATAATTACCAAAATTTTCTGCACCAGTTTAACCTGTGAAAACCTCTCTAAATATTGTGACACACTTATTCAATAGACTTAAAAGGATTTCTGAAAGAGTTAAACAGCTCTATAAAGGCTTCTTTACTTGGTACATTTAAATAGTGGACGTTAAATGGAATCGCTTATATACACAGTAATTCACAAATGTACTGGATTTACATAGGTTAGCAAATAAAAGCAAACAACATAGGAGTTTAAATTCTGAAATTTTATCTTATTCACCCCATACTCAAACAGTTAGACATTTTAACTAGTTTATCACATGAAAATTGACATGACATAAGACTCCTCCATGTCACAGAAAAACAATACATTGCACCAATTTGGTTAAAAGCATTGTATGTATGATATTTAGTAGGAAGTTATTAACAGGAAGTAATTTACAACTCGGTTTGTGTGTTATTACAGGAGAACGAACGGCTTTTGAGTTACTGGGAGTTCAGATCCAAACTACTTAAAAGAATGAAAGCGGGACTCGATCATGCAAGTAAGGATATACATTTTCTTATATATCAGACGATAGTTAACTAATAATAAAATTGAATATATTATATTTCAAATGATAGTTAACATGTAACAGTAAGACATACGAATGATAAAATTGTTTTTCTGATATTCTGGTATTTGAGATATTGCTATTTTGCAAGCCTGAGTCTCATTAACCTTTATTAACAGATCCTCTGATTAAAGTAATAATATTCTGATATGATATGACATTTACTAATGATTGAAAATTTTGAAATATTTATTATATCATATTGTAGTTTATTTGATGAAGAATAACTCGGCATGAAGTAGAAATAAACAAAAATCTAATCATGTGTTGTTTTTTTCCTTTGCAGAAGTGCCCGATGGCCCAACCAATGTCAAGCTGAGTGTTGCTAGTGCCACCTCTCTAATGGTCAAGTTTCAAGAGCCCGACTGTCACAATGGCGCTGTTGTCACAAGATATAAAGGTAAATGAAAATAGATGATAAATCAGAATATGTTAACGTCATAATAAGAGGACAATGGATTCAAGTCCATGTTCTTGTTTTTTGCTTCTCTCAAAGTAACAAGACTGAACAAACAAGCTGAATTTGTGAATCATTTAATTTCTGAAATTCATAAATTGTTGCTTAACCCTAACCAGATATTAATTGTGAAAATCTGAAATGCCTCATTAAAATAATTGAGTGGTAACCATTTTGTCGGTAACAAATTGGAGTCGAGTTGACTCACAAAATAATTTCCTGTTATTTTCACTTATGCATTGTTCATTTACCTTTCAGTTGAATGGAGTTGTTTTGAAGACTTCAGTGTCCTCGCTGGAGATTTCAGCCTCGATGAGCCACAACAATTTGAATATGAAATCAGTGAACTCATATCTGGAAACATGTACTATGTCAGGGTTAAAGCCTTCAACATTAAGGGATCTGGTCCAGCCACTGTAGCCAGCCCCTCATACTGCATTCCTTCAAGTAAGAACACTTTACTAAAATCTTTCAAAAATTTGAACTCCGATCATCGTAATTTGGACATAGTGAGCTAAGCCAGTGAAAATTGCCCTTTATTATAAAATAGAGAACCTAAAGCAAATAGTGCTGCCATGCCGGTAACTGTCAATCCTTTTCTTGAAGATTGAACTCATTTACACTGATAATTGAAATAACTATGATGCCTGGTTTTGGAGTATGTCATCCTATTTAGGTGTATTAATGTTCATGAAATTTTTATGATTTCTTTCAGATTGGAGAGAGATGGTCAACACTGTTCCACGTTCCCAGGGCAAATTACAACTTCTGGATGACCTATTTACGAGCGTGAAAAGCTCTCGTCGTGCAGATGCGGCTGAGTTGAAGGGAACCAGTCCCACCGGCTCCCCCCTACACCCTCGCAAATCTACTATGAGAAAAAGTATCAAGAATCTATTCACTTCTGGTGCCAAATTCCAGAAAAATCTAAAAAGGTAATTGAAATTTGTTTCTTTATCAAAACAGATCTTAAAACTTTAATTATCAATCAAAACATTTTATTAAATTTTTAGAAATTAGATATTTGTGAATCATAATTATTTAATTCATAATTAGCGTTTAATTATTTTTTCAGGGGCGTTTATTTGTCGTGCTTGCTTTACAATGAAGATCGCGTGGTTGTAACACAAGATGATCTTCTCCCAATAATTGAAGTAGATGACACATTCTCGGGGACCAACCTCAACACTGATTTCCATTGGTTAATGAAGGTATGTATATTTATGAAATATTTTGAAACATTCATTAAAAAATATAGCCCTGACAAATAATTGTTACAACACAAAAAATCATCGTTGAATAATATGAAATGTTTATTTATTCTTTAATACACCGGTATATGCGCATTTTCCTCTAAGAGCAAACAATAAAAACGCTTTTTTATTCTCTCAGATTGCCTGCACATGGGAAGATGTAAAAACTCTGCGTCAAGACATGGATAAAAGCAGTAGCTCCAGCACGGTACAGTTCCGGTGTAAGCTCCTTAATGCAGCGGCACAGCTTCAGCACACTCTTGGGCTTCAGGATCTGGGCCAGTTATACTATCAACCAACTAAAGATGCTAATGGCAGTATCGTATTTACAACAGTCAGCCAGATAAAGGATCCAAGAGTTATCAACTCGACTTCTGTGAAGTGGCTACCCATGTCAAAGATTCAGAAACGTCTCGCGGCTACCACCTCTGAGTCCAATACTCTTGCTCCTGAAGCTATGTTGGCATCACTTAACGTAAGTAGAAATCACTTAAGTTAAATATTGACAATAAACTCACTTGAAGACAAGTTTATCTTTACTCTATATTTATGTTTTCAGTTATTAATAGCTAGTTAATTCCAGGATATTATAAATAATAGTACAAAAGCTGTCTATATTTAAACATTGACAGCCGTTAGCTTTCATTTCAAATAATTGCATAACAACGTGATTATATATAGTTTTAATATTTACGTATATTTTCATTTATGATTTTAGGAGATGATAAGTTACCAACAAGCTAGCCAGGCATCCCTCCCTAAAGGCCTATATCTCGGGTACCTCAAGCTACGTAGCTCTGTAGACCTCATCCGTGTCCTTGTGTCGCAAAAAATGCCCAATGTTCTTCCATATACGAAGGTGCGTGACATCGCAAATGTCTCGAAGGATGAGTGGGAGTGGTTACAACATTTAGACAATAACAGTGTGAACTGTCCACCCACTCAGTCACAATTGAACTTTCAGAATGAGATCATAGAATCGTGTAAGACATTGTTGAAGAGTATGGGCATGAATGAAGATGACGCTGTTAGCCATAGGCTGTATGACCTTGAAGTGATTGAACTAAGCCCGGATGTGACATTTCTGGTTTTAGTGCCACCTATTGAGGGAGTATGTAGTGTCCCGGGCCATAATGATAATCTATCCACCAACACAGACTATATTGAACTACCTGTTCAGGTCTTTGAAATGACCCACATGTGCACATACCAGTCAGACTTTATATCCCGATATTCCCGCTTATCGTCTATATTAGAAATTGAATCTCACTTAGCGACGCAATCTCAGAGAGAAGCATTTTCAAGTGAAGAGCTTTTGGATGCGAAATCTCGTGTTGAACAATTAACCAAATTTCAACAATCTCTTGATGATGCCTGGAAAAGTGTTCGTTGGACCATGGACTTAATATCATATGCTCGTGATAAAAATGTGCGTGGTGGAATTCCCCTGGGGGTCCTTTATGCTCCCCCACCCTCCCCTAATGACTCTCCAGTTATGGAACGTCGTGAAATTGACAGTAATGATGCAGGGTATCATAGTGAACAAAGCACATACAGTGACAATACTGCCATAAGAGGTCTCCAGCTTCATAATAAAGACATAAACATTGCCCCACAGGCTACAAAAGCACCTGCCCCGGAACCAGGGTTGGTGCGTGTATATGCTGCCTATGAAACTGGACTTGGCAGAGGTACAAGTGTGAAACTTCGCGTTACTCCTAGGACAACTTCCCGTGAGGTTATAAACCTTGTTGTCCAACAGCTGAATAAGGCCACACACCAGAAAGGCTTAGGTGGCCCATACTATAATGATGAACTTCTAATAGACTTTTGCTTAGTGGCTGTAATTGGTGCACGGGAACGTGTTCTCAGAGACGATTATCAACCTCTGCAGCTCCAGAACCCCTGGACGAAAGGGAGGCTGTATGTACGCCAACGGCAAGATCTCCTAGCTGCTTTAGAATATGGAAACTCTACATCAGTGTAAATTCAGAGTTACTTCAGTGTAACTTAAGTGTAACTAGCTCAAAATGCAGTATTAGTGTACCAAGCTGACAATTTATCATTCATTCAGTATAATACAAATCAAAGATTTTTCTTGATAAAAAAAATTGCTATCTTAGGTTTACTTGAACATAAGTAAATGTGACATGTAAATAGTATATGAAACATTTCAAACTCACATGCTCTTGGTGTATAACATAGTTATGAAATAACACAAGTGTAAAATTGAGAAATTATTTTATGGGCTAGTTTATCAAAAGCTGAGTTCTTATCCTCAGGTTAATTACCTTCAATATGTGAATATAATTTAATATTAAAAGACTATGATCTTGTGATGTGTCCCAGTATGTAACATACACATTAACATATAGTGTGACAGGTGTTTGTGAAATCTCAGTTTTTGTCAAAGAGGTACTATAAACTATATTTAGTTTTTCATTTTACAACTAAATGTACTTTTAACACACACTTTATTCATGCCAGGTGTGCTTGTATTCACCATTTTATCTTATTTTGAAATTTTTCTGTAATGCATAAAAATGAAATTGTCATAATTCGGTTGAATATAGAAATTCAAAATTGTCAGTCTTAAATGATTTTAATATACACTGGAGAGATTTACTCTGGTGGTGTATCTAATAAAGTATGGATAGTGTGCATTGTGCAATATGTTAATAGTGAAAAAATATTCTGTTTTAACTAACACCTAACGATGAATTTGAAACTTTTTGTAATGTTTCTAGATATAATAAATGATTCTCTTAGTCGATAAAGATAATGTGATTATCACAGATATGATTTTAGACATGTTCTCTGTTGAAAACAGACTTTTTGCTGGTGTGAACTTATTCCAGTTTTAGTTAGAAATGGTTGTGATATTCTAATCTTATGTAAGTCAACTATGTATATTTCAAGTTATAATTTATGAATGTGCATGGACATACAGAAATGTGATGGTGAGATATTTGAATATAATTTGCATGTCTCAGCGTTTAAAAATTTGTCCATGCACAGTTACGTAGTATAATGAAATATGTTTGGATGTATACTACATGAGTGGTAAACTGTCTTGTATTGAATATATGTACAATATCTATATATGTAATTGTTTTGTACAAAGGAAATTAAATTATCTGCCAATAAATTATTGTGTTACATAAAACTTTATTTTGTTGATGACATAAGTGAAAATATCTAATGGTGAAAACAATCGAATGTAATGTTCATTCAAATGGTGACCCAAATAAATAAATAATATAAACGATCTCTTGAAGACCAGATTGACAGTTGAAAAAATAAAATGACCAATTTCAACAATTTTCTTCATCCTAACCAATTTCAAATGTTCATTCAAATAATTTATTGTCCATCTCCCTATATTTGCAATATAAAGAAGATCATATGCCCTCATAGATGACATGTCTTCATAGTAGATGTGCAGGATTAAAGTCAATTGCATCCTCATTTTCTCAGAAAATTCAAGTAGATTAATGTGGGAGATAATTGCTAGAATTCATTTTCAAAAGTAAGAATAGGGTTTTTGAACAGGACATTGGGCTTGCTTTTAATTAGAGCTTTTTGTTTCCTGAACACTTAAAATGTGACCTGTGCTGATACTACAAGGGCCGAGCAATATATTCGCTACTTTTTGCTCTCAAATTGTTAATAATAAAGTATCTTACCTGAAATTTTCCAAAATAATAGAAAGAACATTTTTCTGTAATATCACCAAATGTGCATTTATTTGGTTACATCCGTAATATTTTACATGGCATTGAATACTGGTTGATAGTGACCACCGGAGCTGACATTTGTGACAATGTTTCAGAAAACAACTTTTATACAAAATGTCCTTTTTGTTAATTAAGACAGTTACTCCTCATTCCATGCCTCATTCTCAAAATAGTGTCCATCTGCAGCTATGCATTTTCTACATCGGGAAAGCCAGTCTTGATAGGCCTGTTGCAGTCCGTTTCTATTTCCATATAGGTCTTTTAGGGCCTTATGGACGGCCTCAACCACTTCTTCACTGTCACCAAACCTCTGCCAGCGTAGCTCATTCTTCAGTTTGCCGAAAATTTCAAAGTCGCACAATGCAAGGTCTGGACTGTATGGTGCATGATCAAATTTTTCAATGTTTAGAGCTGCTAATATATCAGTTACCTCACGGGCCCTGTGTGATGGAGCATTATCTTGATGATATATCATATGGTTGATCAATACTGGGCGCTTTTTACGAACTGCATTTACCATGCTTGCTTCTTGATGCAACTCAGGAAGCGGAGTCTCCCTTTTGTGATGCATATGCGGATCAATTGTGACCTCTTTATTGTTTGAAAAGAACATCTATGACATCACAACCATTGTTCTGAATATTGGATCAATGTCCAGTAAACAATGTTTATAAAAATTACCCAAACTGAATGTTTTTGTTATGAGAAATGGGCATATAAAGATATTGTTGCATGTGCAATCGCAGTAAAATTATGGGCAGCTCCGGTGGCTCATCCCTCCCGTTGCTATGACAACCATAATTTTTGCCATATTTGGCAATGGGCTTGAAAATGGATTCAAAAGATGCGGATTTCTACACTCTATGTCTGTACCAAATTTCAATGGAAATAAACAAATATAAAAGAAAATAAAGCAAAAAGTAGCGAATATATTGCTCGGCCCTTGTATGTTAACAAGTGACATCTTTCTTTAAATGTAATATTATAATCTTCAAACATTACTTCCAAGTGGCAAGAAATGCTTTTAATTCATAGACTTTGGAATGCTTTATAGATGGCATAAATTGCAAATGAATGTTGCATGGGAAAACAAGGATTGGCTCCCTGAGTGCAACATCAATTTTTATGCCATATATGGCAATGTCGTTATTACAAAATTCGAATTCAAACAGCCGCCATTTTGCATGTCAACATTTGAATCATGAATTTTGGTCTTATTTCCAAACGAAAAATTCCAAAACTCACAAGAAATGATCGAGATATTAATTCCAATCTTTTGGACAGGTTTATTTTGATTTTGTAGTCAGTTATAATTTCAGAAAATAACGACATTTTGACTGTTGGACTGTTTTCAATGTTGGAAAATATTGACTTGCAATCCTGGGAGCCAATCTTCCTTGATTAGAAAACAAACTTTTTCTTTGTTGAATAGTCTGACTAAACTTATTTTCTATGAGCAATGTTGTTGAAAGGAAATTCAAATTGAATTGTGGAAGAAATTCAAATTGAATACATGGCATTAGTCAATTTCAATAGCGTTTTAAGGTATGTAGCTCCTTACATGCAGATAAAATTGGGGCAATGTAATCTCAATATAATATGAACATAGAATTTTTAGTTTTAACATTCACATGAAAAATAGATGGCAGCATGGATATGGGTAGGGCCAAAATACATGGAAACATATTACAAGAGTAATTTTATTTCTTAATCTAACAAGTAGATATACGAGGGGTGATCCAAAAGTCTTGGACGCCCCGCTCTAACTTTGCTATTTTTTAATATAATTACATTAAACTTTCAGATAATAAAGATCAACATCTTAACAACTTTATGTATAAGTTTCAACAGAAAATGATATATTTTAGCTACTTTTCTACGTATCTTTTAATACCGGGTCCCTGCCACCCGGAACGGTATTTAAATATAGCAAATCACGTCACAACTGTTATAACATGGCAAATACTTTAGGTGCAGGTGCACAACCTAACACCAGCCATGATATGAAAGAATTTTCTATTTTCAGTCGAGTGTCATCTGCCATCATCATCTTTACATATGAAGACCTACTTTTCAACATATTTTCCACGAAATTTAACACATTTTTCATACCACTTTACCAATGAATGGAAGACATTTATGAAACCGCCATTGCTTATGTGATACAAATGCTGCTGGAGTGCTACTCTAAACCTCATTCAATGAGTAAAAAACATTTTCTTTCAACCCTCCTTTCAACTTGGAGAAAAGGAAGAAAATCACATGGAGCCATAGATAGACTGTATCATGCATATGGTAGCTGCTCAAGGTCAATAAATAATAGTGAAAATATCTTGTAGTATTCTTTGTTCCACTTTGATTTCTTTCGTGTTCTGCATTTCAGCAGCCATCTTGCAGGAAAAAATGATACCGGAATGAGGGTTGCTTGTCTGATGGCATTTTCTTAGAATTTGACATGTGCGGCCATTGTCATATGTGACATTATAATTAAAACACAATTAATTGGTTGCCTAGTAATAAAGGAAGTAAACTAACATGGTTTAACATTCAAAATTCAAAGAAATATAGTGGTCAAGACTTGCGAAACAAGTGAAATGGCGGTAACATTTAAGGCTGAAAGTTGCCATGTGCAAATACCGTTCCGGGTGGCAGGGTCCCTGTATTTAAAACTGTCTAGAAAACTATATAAAATATACCATTTCTCCATGAAAGTAATACACAAACTAGTTAGGTTGTTGGTCTTTATTATTGGAAAGTTTAAAGTAATTTTATCAAAAACCAACAAAAATAGAGTAGGGCGTCCAAGACTTTTGGATCACCCCTCGTATAGTTCCATTTTAATCAACTTAAAACACCATTCAAGTTCAGAATATAACTTTCTGAGCTTATTGACATGTGGATTGTGATTTTAACATTAAAATTATGATCCTTATAATAATAAATGAACTCTTAAAAAATTTTCAACATTGTGTCAATTGGATTTACCCCGACCTTTTTCAGAGAACTTGAAAAACTTTAAAATTTGAATAAAGATAATGTTGTCATGGATATTGCCCTATTCTGAATATCTTTTACTAAATTATGCCATCTCTAGACCCAGTCATCATCTTTATTAGGAGTCCATAGTTTTGACAGGCATTTTGGACCAATAAATGAATTACCAATTGATATCTGCCACAAGAATCTAGATGAATTGGCTATTACATGTACAACTCCTTATTTTAATTTGCCCAGCCCTTATGATAAATAAATCGTTTGAAATTCAACATCTGCAGGTCTGACTTATATTAGCAAATTAGATATTGCAATACAAATTACAGAACAGCTGATTCTATGCTTATAGGGGTTAGGCCATAAGAAATAGATACTTTACATACAAAGTAAAAAGAACAAAAACTCAAAATAAAACACAAATTCGTTTGTGAGGTAATACATATAACAATGATGATTATTTGTCAACGTTAAATTCTTTCAAATTCTAAGTTCCCCTTGATTTTCTTAATTCTGGTTCATGGTATGGCCTCGGCCATCTGGCACCCTTCATAAAGAGCTATAAATTCCAAAGTGTAGAGTATTTAGACAAATGTGGAATTATTGATGAAATCATTTTCAAACGCTGTTTCAGTACCGTACACAAAGTCCCCACTATCAATTTTAATATTTATCCGACTGTTATCCTCCCCCGGGTTATCCTCCACAAAAGTCTTAAATTCATACAGCTCAATCTTACTCGAGTCTCTAGCTTACAGCTAGACGAAACTTCATTGATTTCGTATGTACTGTGCTACACGCACCTACACGCACCTAGAACTCATTTTTAATAAATTTTATAAATATTTTTAAGAATATTAATCATATTTAGGATGAAGCGTTGCTTGTCTGGATTTAGATATTTCAAAATTTCATTTCGGAGTTTTGACACATGGTGAAATTTTCTCGCTGTAGCTAAAAATGGCTTCCGGTTCTGGACGTGAATAACATTTGAAATTATTCTCGCTTAAAGAAATCAAATATAACAATAGATTCAGACGGGGATGTGAGCTGATGTTCTTCAAATCTATACATAAAGGTATATTTCATATTATTATGCCATATTTACTTTGCGTGTGACACAATGATTTACAATATTTATAATACTAAGGCAGCTCAATCTTCCTCCTCAAAGCCGGAATATAGAGAAGGCTTTGGACCGAAGTAAGCTCAATCATTCTTTGATTTTTATACAGATCAAACTGTCCACCATAAATGCTATCCCTAAGAAATTTTATCTAGCTTTAAATATTAGGTAATATTAATGTGCTTGTTTTTCTGAATTATAGTACTCTAAATCATGTACACAAAATGAATCAAATTTAGATGCAAAACCAATCATCTACTTATCATGGCCTTAGAAGGTTATGAGGTTATGTAGTTGGATCACATGATTGTCACGTGACTATAGAACATTTCGCGCAATGTCAGATATGATGACCCTCTTCATGTAAACGAGTCCGCTATCTTGAAGACTATTTATAATTTATATGCGAGTAGGTGTCAAATGAAGTCGGTCAAAGTATGTATATCGAACACATGATATATTACACTACATATTGAAATGATACTGGACTTTTAAGCTCATTTTGATCAACTTATCAGTGAAAATAGGACTGAGCGGAGGAGTTTCCGGACATTGTGAAACAAACAGAAGACGAAGAAAAGTGAAACACAACTGCGTTTACTAACGGATTTTATTTGATTTTAAGGACTTTTTAGACAATTGAATATGATGCTGGATCTAAGAGTAGATGCTTTCTATTACTCTGACTACTCTGATACAGTGGCAGAGGGCTGAATACTCCGTTTGAAGGGGTAAAACGAACGGGTAGAGTCAGTGTGTTGACAGATTATTTTCCAATTTTTGAACGGCACCATACATTTTTAGAGGACAATTTCGATGCAAAATACACATTTGAGTCTGGCTCGAGACAACACAATAACCTGGACTCAATTCAAAATGTCACTTGAAACTGCTATAAGTGTAAGTATTGAAAGGATATGCCCTAAATTCAAGACTAACAGTACCATCAAAGTTTCTCCTTGAAAGCAAAACATTTGCGTTCTAAACTGGTTTGATCTGGTTTTCAGACCCAGATGATGTAAATATCAAATGAGTACATGTCATCCCAGGTCATTCACGTGGAGTCTCAATGTGTACTGACTTTCATCGAGCTTCCAATGAACTCAGTAATTCTGACTATTTTGTTCACATCGCAATTATTCTGATGGCCTGGAGTTTCTTGACTCTAGTTCAACAATACCAATACCAAGGTCTTTTTAATTTATTAATCTGAATCATTCAGTGAATGTTCTTGTTGCCGTGATTGGGTTTAACTTCCGTGCTATGTTGGTTGCAAATTCTCACTATCAGTTATTAATAAAACGTGTATGGAATTCCATGCGCTATAGGCCACCATTAAATTTTTGCATCAATGGCCGAATAGGCAGGGATGTTAAACCTAGGGCGGGCCACAAGATATGTCACATAAGAAATAAGGCCCAGACTAGGTTTAACTTGTTGAACTAGACTGGTAGACTCTTTCCTAACCTACCACACCCTGGCAGGTACCTTGCTTCCTCCCTTTAGTTAATATGCCTATGGCCTAAGAACTCGCCAAAGAAGGAAAATGTGGTTGCGTCCATTGGTGTAGTGGATAAAGCATGTAACTTCTGATGCCCGGGGGTTCACTATATATAAACTTTGTTGAACCCTCAGTTAGCGGTATGTTACCAATCAATCAAATTTTAATATGTTCCCATACCAACCAATTTGTTCAATATTATTTGGTGGTTACTATAAAATAACTCCCCAAGCCATACCAAATGTCAAAAATAAGGGCCTGATACCATACCAAATGTTCAAACATGTGAACAAAAATATCTAGGAAACAATCAAAGACAACCTCAAATTAAGGACATTTGTAACTACATTGTACTAAGGTTCATGCCATACTAAGTCTTAGCTAACAAGTCTTAGCTAACATATCTTCCACATTAAATCCACAACCATTAAGTGGGACAATGCATTTTCTTACCACATCCCTAAATTTGAGTCTATTGCCATATCAGATGTCAAAAAGATACCCCGTGTATATCGTGCAGGATCCCTGCCATGGTTAATATTCAGTGAACCTGGGAGTGCTGCTTACTCAATATAAATGCGCGCTGGCTAGGACTGCCTATGGTCATAATCAGGATAAAGATACCAGTTCCTGTCGGATTAATTAATATGTGGAACTGTTTCTGCCTTACAGGTTGAGGAAACTTGACCCCAAAAATAGAATAGTTGCTCAATAGTATTTGCACTTTATGATACTTGTTTAAAATATATCCGACTTTAAATATACATGTACATATGATTCTATGAAATATTTGATATTCGCAACATTCTACTTTCAGGCATCGCCTTTAGTGAAATCATTTCTAGCTGGATCATTCAGTGGGACTTGCTCGACAGTCCTCTTCCAGCCTCTAGATCTCGTCAAAACAAGACTTCAGTCAGCAGTTGCAGTTCAGGGGTGAGTGAGAATATTCCAGATCTCCCTCACCTTTATCTAGTGCCAAGAGTTCATGTAGTGATAAAAATTTAAGATTTAATTTAAGAAAAGAATTTCATTTATTTAATATTGTATGTGGTCATTTGTGATAAACCACTTGCATGTATTTTCTTGATCTGTATTGATTTAGCTATTGTCTGCAGGATGTCCTTACTGAATTCACTCATTTCTTAGTAAGAGTAACCTTAAATGCCCTTAAAATACACATTGTCCTTAAAGTGATCAATAATCTGCTTTTACAATTATGTACCTCTGTTGAGTGTTCTTCATTTTAGAGTTTATCCATTCTCTGGTGATGATTTATGATGTAATATGTTGACCTATATCAGTAAAACTATGAGGACTTTGGAATTTGTATATTTTTTATTTTTATTTTCAGTAACAAGCCATCAGGTGTTGTGGCAACTGTATTTCAAGTGGTGCGGAATGAAAGAATCATAGGTCTATGGAAGGGCATTACACCAGTAAGTTGCATATATTGAAATCTTTAATCCACATGCTAGTTGGACCAGTCATATGGGTTTGGATTAGCAGGTGTTCATATTTCAAGGTTTCTTAGTATCATAGATACTAGTATTCCGTAATTCTGCGGCGTGGACGGAATTTGACAAAACTTCAATTTTTTGCAGAATCCCTGATTTTCATGAAAATCCCGCGGAATTACCAGAATTTCCAGAAATTACATATTTTACGATCTCCTACCTTTGCGGGGTATTTAAAGAGTGTCTGTTTATGTCCAACAATCAATCATTATTGAGTACAAGTACGATTTCACCGTGAAATTCAACATTCTATCACGTTTAAATTCGCTAAAGCGAGTTCGCTAATGACGTGCAGTTCTTACTTAGAAAGTAGCTGACTTCCGTTTCCTTGCTACGTCAATTTTCATCGTTTTAAAAGATTGCAGAATTTGGACTTTTTTTGAAAATTTGTGCAGAATTTCGATTTTCTCCTTGCAGAATTTGCTTTTTTTCTTGCAGAATTTTGATTTTTTTCATGCAGAAAACTAGTATCTGTGTAATATGCGACTCCATCATGTCCATGGGCAATTACAGAATAGGATCACAAACAAGGGTTCCATTGTTCAGCAGAGTTGGGACACACACGTTTTACAACACTCCCTTATGATATTGATTTTCAAGGAAAATTCATAAATTCGTAAATCTGAATACAAGTTTGAAAAAAATTCTCAATTGGCAGGGCGCCAGCTCATGAATCGGAGCAAATGTGACCCAGGCATAAGATACCTGAAATGAGGCACTTGAAAATGAAATTTTTAGAAAACCCAGCATTTATTTAAAGAAGACATCAATCATGTTTGTTGAGTTGAAAACAGAATCATAACAAGGTTAGAAAGGTCTTAACCAGGTTGTGATACGTCATGAAAGAAAAACACCAACACACCTCCAATTTGATACTTCAGCATCTTTTATTTGAACATCTAACATAATATCTGAATATCAGCCACGCATGGTGACTTATCAAGGTGACACATTAAAATTTTCTATTCCAAACAAGCTAATTCATAAAAATTTCAACTGTCATATCTGTGTTTTTCTCCTAAACATTTTTTGTTTACCTTCTATTTTGACCTGACAAAAATAACTCTGAACCAGTTATCTTGTCACTTTTTAATAAATATTCAAGGTAAAGGTAGAAGTAAAATAAGAACATTTTCAAACAAAAACATCCTTTATCTTTATGTTTACTAGAAGGAAAGAAAGATGTATTTAGCATTTGAACTCATTAAGAAATCACCATGACCTGAGTTAGAGTAGTGCGTAGAAAGCAGCTGTTGCCAAATACACGTGGGCTTCAGTGATATATTTTGCAAGTGAAAAATTACATTGACACAGTTTCTTTGTATCACCTTGTAAGATATGTATGATATTTATGTGGGTAATGTCCAAAATAGTTTTTTACCATGATATTATATAATGATATATTATTAATTAGGCATTTATTACTTACATATTGAGATGATCAGACAGCTAATCTAATTATCTTCGATTGATTTGGTTCATTCATTATTAATATATATCCATCCTATTTTTATTACCTACTTTTAGTGAACATATTATTCTACTTAATTGATTTTCCTTGCTTCATTAGGTTAATAGATAAACCAAAGCACCTGTTACCATGGTGTAGAGCACAGAACTATGACCATTTTCTGAATTATTCATCTTTTTGTTGAGCCCCTCTAAAGAGAATTCTCTCAACCTGATAAACACACATGTGTTACAATGCTACAACAATGACATCCTTTGCTCGGTGTAAGGTAATAGCATACAATCAACAGGGTGGTAGGATTTTCCCTTGGTTTGGACATTTTCTTCAAACCCAAAACATTTTACTCACTTCCATGCCTAGTCCTGAAAGAATTTGCATGATGCCATTTCTCATTGGTGTGCATTAGACTGTTATGTTACGTATTGTTATGTATGTATGTATATCTTTATCGCCCTTTATGAAAAGGAGATAGCCATACAATATGTGTTTGTTATAGTCTCCTTTTTTGTGTCAGTGTTTGGTGTCTGTAACAAGTGGCAGGTGGTGACATTTTGGTTTTTTATAATGGCTCCTTTATTTAATATATACATAAACTGTTTTTCAAGTCCAGGGGCAGTAACAATATTTGAACATGTTTACTGTAATACAAATTTTTTTTTCTCCATTTCAGTCCATCACAAGATGTGTACCAGGGGTAGGGGTATATTTCTGTTCAATGCACTGGTTGAAGACCAACCTAGGGTAAGAGGACAATTTCCCTTCTATATCTATGTACTTAATTAAAGCCCTTTGACAGAGTATCACATGAGTTAACTTTAAATAACTGTAATTCTATTTGGTGTGTTATTAGTATTCAGATTGACAACCTAACCTTCACAGAAAATAATGAGAAAACACTGCCCTGGTTCATTCCGTCTGATTTAATGATGTCATGACAACTTTTAAAAGGGAATTGCGTAGTTTCTTTCAATCATTTCAATGTTTCCAAGTAGCATTTGGAATACACAGTTCAAAAGTACAGGTTTGTGCCTAGATCTATGTATTTCAAACTCACTGTGTATTTTTAGCGGTCAACTAGAAACAATTTTGATAGACCAAACCAAAAGAATTTTGAAGTTGAAGTGTCCATATGAGCAATATCCACCAGATATATTTTTTGATCTCAATATCTCAAATTTTTACACTCTAAAGTAAACAGTTTACATATAAATAAGGAACCAAATAGGTAATTCTCTATATATTACTGTATTTGTAGAAGTGCGGACCCCCCACCCTGGGAGTCCATCCTGATAGGGGCAGGGGCACGAACTGTTGCTGGCGTCACTATGCTCCCCATCACGGTGGTCAAAACCAGATTTGAGGTAATGCATTTCAATCAAAAATGTCTGTTTGTAAATTCTCTTCTATCAAAATTCAGAAGCTTGTTTTATAATCAGACTTTAAAAAAATGATTGAGGTGATAGATGATTATGATCTTGGTCAAATAATATTGTATTGTAATTTGTCAAGAAAATGACCAAATGTCAATCACTGATAGAATTACACTAATGTGATTGTCATTTCAGTGCCCATAAGTTTTATCAAAGATTTTGAACATCAAATAACTTTATCAACAAAAAGAAAAACTTCCTACAATAAAACTTGATATAGATTTAACTTCCTTACTTTCAAGGTGCACTCAAATGCTGATGTTTGATTGTTGTATGTTTCAGAGTGGTCAATTTAAGTATAATGGGGTGTTACCTGCCTTGTACAATATCTACAAGCTGGAGGGGGCAAGAGGTAAGCAACTCACCTTCAGTTTTATAAACCAGTGATCTCCACTGACTTTTTTCTCAAGTAGGTGCAAAATTTTAATTTTCACAATTTAGACCAATATTGGTCAAAAATATGCCCATTTTTCATGATTTTTCTCATTTTTTTCAAATGGGTGCAAATGGATTTTCAGGAGGGAGCAACCCTATTTTCAAAATCTTAGGTGGGTGCTGCGCCCACTTGCTTTAATGCTGGGGAGATCACTGTAATCACTCAAACTTAATCACTGAAGAAACAGCCACTTCTATAAAAGGCCAATGATTACGATATGTGATGTTTTTTTAATTTTAAATTCACTCCATGATGATTTTGAACTTTAATTTTGTACATATGGTATCAACAGTACAATATTCAACAGTACAATATTCTAAATTATATCATCAGGGAACTATACATGTATGAATGAGGATTTTGTAAATACAAGACTGTATCATTTGTGCTTTTTTCAATTGTAGCTTAACTTTCAATAGAAATATTTCATTCAGTAGTGAGACTACAGACTACAGAATTGACTCGGCTAAATGTGAAGATTTGTACTTTACTCATTTCAGTTTGGATATATAAATTGTTAAAGCACAACATTGAACAATAATTTGACAAGGTCTACTTGTGGGCATCGCAATGGCTCTTTGAAATTAGATCTATTATATATACATGACACTGTTTGAGATAACGGGTGATAGATGTAACATCACTTACACAGAATATAAATTGTTTCTGAGTGCAGGGTCATCATAGTGGCAGTTTGGATATCGGTTCAAGGATGATGAAATCAGACCTGGTGTTAAAGTCTTCATTAATTACAAATTTACAAATTTAAAGAGTTCAGGGTCGCATCGTGTGACTTGTATAGTGTATTATGTAATGCAATATGCTGGTTTTGCATTTTGTAAGTTGTTCGATATCCTGGAACAAGTCTAATAAGGGATTTGAAACATTTTAGAGATTTGTAACTACTATGCAATGTGATGACAAAGCCTTTATTTCAATTAAAGCCAAAGTGATGTTATTAATAGTGCTTGGTTGTGTTTTTAAGGTCTCTACAGCGGTCTCTCTGCAACTCTCCTACGTGATGTCCCATTCTCAGGACTCTACCTGATGTTTTATACCCAACTTAAGAAAGCTGTTCCATCAAGTAAGTTACCTCCCCTCGTAGACTAATATGGGAATGCCCATGGTTTATGAAAGCAAAAATGGGTGAATGTTATCATATTATTTAATGGTGTATATAATGTCTGTAGAGGTTTATATTTACTATTAGCAAGTTTGTCTTCAATGCATTCAAAAGCCTCTGCACCCTTGCTTGTAAATGCAATCATTGATGTGAGAAATAAATTCTATCACGATTTATGGCTACAAATAAGGGAAAGGAAAACCTCAATACAGGCACTGAATCAATTGGTTCATTTTGTTGTCAAGTGTTCTTGGTACAGGGTAACATTTAGTCATGTTTGCTCTGTGATAAGTCAATAAAAATCCAGAGAGGGTCTATGTTCAGTTAGGTTCTCATGCTGTCTTCTTTCTTCTTAAAATAGATTTTCTTAAAAAACCATGTCTGGTGTTGTGCCCTGGGGCATTATTGACATTTCCCAAGTTCTCTCTGTTTGCGATGAACTGGTGATATTGAAGTCAGGAACTCACACGTTGTTGCTATAAACAGAGAATACTGAATAGAATTAACTGTGCTAACACAAGGGCTTAAGGTGTATTTGCAATATCAGACTTGTTATATAATTGTCATATTTGGTTGATTGTAGTATTTAAACACTGAAGTTAAAATATAATATATTGTGAATTAATATTTAAGTTTGTTATGAATGTGATATTTAAATGACTAATGCTTGTTTTCTTCAGCTGGGACAGTCGATCCAACTGCACCATGGGTACATTTCTCCTGTGGCATTGTGGCTGGCTCCTTTGCTTCCGTCGTCACTCAGCCAGCTGATGTCATCAAAACTCATATGCAGCTTTTCCCAGAGCGCTTCAGCCATGTTGGCAAAGTTATCATGTTCATATTTCAAGTAAGTAAATATAAGCACAAGTGTCTAATGGGTAAAGAACTAGAAGATTGCAAGCAATCTTACGGAGGCCCTGTAGGCTTTTTTGAACATTTAAAGGTCAGCCAAAGGTCAAATCTTAAATACAAGGACATATATGAACTCCAGGCATCTGTAGATGATTTTTAAAAAAAAGTTTGGTCAATTTGAAGCAATGTGAATTTGACCTTGAAAAATTTCAACATAAGACCTTTTTCAGTTTTTTAGGTCCAATATCTCAAAACTGGTGCAGAATTTTAATAGATAATCAATTGTTATTATGTGTAAAACCTTTAGAGGAATATATATCCTGACTTTAATTCAAAAATATTGATTTGTAGTCACAAACTTTGAGAAACTTAGAAAACACAGTTTGTGATCTTGTTTGATGACCTTGACCTTTGAGCTTACAGGTTTTACTTTTTTAGACCGCAGTATATCTTTTCTGATTGAAGAAACCTAAATTTGAATCCAGAAAATCAATTTGAAAAATTAACTTTTTTGACCTTTCAAAGGTCACTGAAGGTCAACTAAAGGTCATAGTTCAAAACTAAGGTCAGATTTGAGTTCCTGAGATCTTGTAGAAGCTTTTTAAAAAAAAGTTTGGTCAATTTAGAGCAAGTTGAAATTTGACCTTGAAAAATTTTGAAATTTGACCTTTTTTCAGTTTTTGAGTTCTAATATCTCAAAACTGGAGCAAAATTTTAATAACTAGTCAATTGCTAATATGTGTAGAACCTTTAGAGGAATATATATTCTGACTTTCAGTAAAAAAAATTGATTTGTAGTCTCCAATTTTGAGAAACTTAGAAAACACAGTTTGTGATTTCCTTTGATGACCTTGACCTTTGACCTTGCAAATTTTACTTTTTTAGACCTCAGAAGATCTTTTGTGAATAAATATACCTAAATTTGAATCCAGAAAATTGATTTGAAAAATCAACTTTTTTGACCTTTCGGAGGTCACTGAAGGTCAACCAAAGGTCAAAGGTCAAAAGTAAGGTCAGATTTGGAATCCTGAGAACTTGTAGATGAGTTTCAAAAAAAAAATTGGTCAATTTGAAGCAAGTTGAAAAAAGACCTTTTTTGACCTTTTTTTGACCTTCAATATCTCAAAATCTAGGCAAAATTTCTGTAGACGGCAAAAGGCTAAGACTAATAGAATACTAATATCTATCTGTATGCAAAAATTCAGCCAAAAATATTGATGTGTAGTGTCAGGATTTGAGAAACTTTAAAAAAACTTAGAGTTGACCTAGATTTTGACCTTTGACCTTGACCTAGATAAAAATTCCTTTCCCGCCAAGTTCAGCCAAGGTTCCTAGTAGGAGCATATAAGAGTTAACTCAGACCTAGCTAGAAGTAGGAGAAAAAGAGGGAGGAAGAATAAATAATAATAAAGAATAAAGAATAAAGAATAAAGAATAATATCTACAAAATTGATAGGAGGCCCCCCGATGGGGCCTCCTAATAAAGAATGTTACAGAAAAGTCTATTATGCCCAAAGAAACAATGTTTAGCACAGGCACCCCCCCCCCCCCTCTACCCCCAAGGAATCATCACAGCCAGTCGTCTAGTGTGGGAATATGCATGTTTGGTTTATTTGTATCATAAATAAATGGATATGTTGAATTTTGTTAAGTCATAATGACATATGAAATTATTATAATTCATCATAGACATTTGAACACTTATATCTCACACTTAAATTAAGGAACTATGTCCTCTGTCCTCAGATAACACTTAACTCAGTTTTTAGCAAAGACCTTATGTTATTGACCTGCCAGGGCACCGGCATTATTAATCAGCCTCCTTTCAAACTGGTCAAAATCCAACAAACTCTCAACAAGTGTGAAATAGATTTTGAGCTCTGTTATCTTGACATGTGAAGCATTTATAAAAACCAGTAATACATTAAGATGTTCTTTGTAGCCAGCTCTTATATATTTAAAATGACATTTTGAGATAGTGGCCCATTTGTCATGTTCATTAATCAATGCTTCAAAAAATTGATGAGCTCACATGTTTTAAAATCACGTTTTAAAAAGGGCTCTTATTTTTTGCCCAGTACTATTTTATAGATATCATTAATTCAGCAAAGGGAATATAGAAAACATTTCTCAGATTACAAAATTGGCATTTCTCAATTGGTTAAAATATTGTTTTGCTTAACATTGGAGATTATATTATATAACTTAAAATGTCAATGAATGATTCTTGTTATTTAGGCTTACATTATGAAAAGAACTTCTTATTTATAAGGCATTTGCTATATGCAGAACACAGAAAGTGCACTCGCCAGTCTAATGTTCAGTACATCAGTTTGGAGATAATGCTATCCTCGTTCTTTGTTTGAATAAAGTTAACAATATAATCAAGTACTCGTGAACCTAAATGGCTAGTGTCTAGTACATTTTCTTGTGCCTTGTATAGAAAGTTAAATCCAAGTGATAGATAATGACAATGATTGCGCAGTTTAACTATAGTCACAATAGCATGATTCTGCAGATAAGGTTTGGACTCAATAACCATATAACATAATCATCTTTGTTATACATGTATATTGAAATCTCCCAATCAACTCCCATGTTATTCAAGTGAACCTCATTACATATTCCAGTTGAGTAACTGGGATGAGTACAATGCTATAACTCACACACATCTATAATATATCAACCCCTTGAAGAAAATTTAAGATAATTTAGGTTTGATAAACAAAAAGTTGATTTTTTTAGGATATCAAATAGGTGATCCAGTATTTTCAAGTTTTAAAGAAATGATGTTAATCATTTATAATATAACCTATGACATCTCGGGTGATCTATTTTAAATGTTCGACTTAACTTATGTCAAATTTGATGGATATTTATTGAAACTTTATATCACAACAGTCTTATTAATGAGTCATATTAGAGATATAAGTTATATCAAATTACAGAATTTGACTAGTTGCAACTGGTTCCTCTTACTTTGTACTCATTCGTTGGTACATTTAAAGGTTTGTGATGAACCAAAATTGTGGCATGGTCTGTGACCTTTTCTCAACCTTCAAACATGAATCATGATTCGTGTCTGATTTCAAGTTTTCAAACATGTCACTCCACTAAATTATTCAATGATATGTTCGTGTGGAAATGATTGTTAAATGATTAATACTTTAAACAAGTGAACATCAATGCAAAAAGATGTTTTACTGATTTTGTACCTCCACCTCTGTGTACATACACCTTTATATAGGAGGTCCATTTTAAAGATATTTCTAGAAACCAGATGCTTTTACTGATACTGTTAGAAAACCTTTACTCAATAGTTAATAAAAACTGTGATTTTTATTATTATTATTTATTTGATTTTACCTTATCATGTAACACAGATACAATGTATTTTTTAATCATCTTACTTTGATTTTATTATCCCATCGAACGAAGTTCGGAGGGATATAGGGAATGCCTCCGTCCGTCCGTCCATACGTACGTCCGTACGTCCGTCCGGGCAATAACTCAAATACCGTTGGCCCGATTTTGTTCATATTTTGTACACATATACCCTATATGAGTAGAAGTTTTGCTCGAAAGCCGATTTTCAAAATGGCCACTCATTTCAAAATGGCGGCCATTTTAGTGCCGATTTTACAGTAATTTAGGTGCAATATGTAAAACTGTTATAGCAATATGTTTTAAATGTAAAAAAATGATAAAGGACAATAATAATACTACAAATGTAGATATTAAAGAAGCACATGGCAGCCATCTTGAAAAATGGCGGCCTTTACACGTCATTTTACGATTTTTGCTGTAACTCAAAAAATAGTGGAGCGATTTTGTTCATATTTGGTATGTGAATACTATAAGCATTGCACACTGTCTAAAGACACTTTTGGTAGAAGGCGGCCATTTTGAAAAATGGCCGCCATTTTAACATATTTTAATATAACTCGAAAAGTAGTGGAGCGATTTTGTTCATATTTGGTATGTGAATACTATAAGCATAGCACACTGTCCTATAACACTTTTGATAGAAGGCGGCCATTTTGAAAAAAATTTTGAAAAATGGCTGCCATTTTAACGTATGTTACTATAACTCCCCTGTAAACCCCCCTTATATACTTTCTTATAAAGAAATGAGCGACCCTAATTATATTTGTATTAACTGTATTATCATGTAACCTTATATTATAATGTAAATCTAAAACTTGAATAAATATTTACAAAAAAAAAATAAATAAAAAAAAATAACTCAAAAAGTAGTGGAGCGATTTTGTTCATATTTGGTATGTGAATACTATACGCATGGCACACTGTCCTATGACACTTTTGGTAGAAGGCGGCCATTTTGAAAAAAAAAATTTGAAAAATGGCCACCATTTTAACATATTTTACTATAACTAGAAAAGTAGTGGAGCGATTTTGTTCATATTTGGTATGTGAATACTATAAGCATGGCACACTGTCTATTTCTAATGACACTTTTGGTAGAAGGTGACCATTTTGAAAAATGGCCGCCATTTTAACGTATTTTACTATAACTCGAAAAGTAGTGGAGCGATTTTGTTCATATTTGATATGTGAATACTTTAAGCATGGCACATTGTCTAATAAAACTTTGGGGAGTAGTCGGTCATTTTCCAAATGGCCAACATTTTTATGTGTGTTATTTTACAAGTACGTGTGCGATTTTTCAAAAATTTTAGAGGTGGCTACTTAAAAGCATATTATTATTTCTTCTGATGACAACTTGGCTAGTGAGCAACCATTTTGAAAATGGTGGCCTTTCTAGTGTGTTGTTTTATGATATTTGCTATTCGTTTGTAAAAATGCCAGCCATTTCTGTTCGATGGGATTCGCTACGCTTTGGCGTTGCCGTTGTTCTGGTTATACATTGATTGTACGAATGAATGTAACTCTCAATTTAAGAGGTAAAAAATTGTACTATAAATACATAACAAGTGTTGTTTCATGTTGTGATTATAGGAGAATGGTACTAAGGGATTTTTTCGAGGAATTGTCCCAAGAACAATGCGTAGAACACTGATGGCTGCCCTGGCATGGACAGTTTATGAGCAGGTAAGATAGTCTTGAAATTTTGGAATGAAAGAGTTTTCCGCAGTGTGTTTATTTGGATTTTTCATGATTTAATTATTAATTTAAACAATGCAGTGTCACGGTTAATTCAGTGTCTAATTAATTGAGGTGTTTTTGTTTAAAAATTGGTCTTGAGGGTGTCAATTCAATAATATCAAGTCGCCAAGTTGAATTTAATTATTCAATTTCATTTCAGGTAATGAAGAGCACTGGATTAAAGTAGAATGTCTTCAAACACAGCGCACAATTCCACAATGAGTAATCAAAATATTAACAAATCAGATGAAAATACACTGAATATTGCAGTAATTGTTTTATACTTACTTAGTGGAACAATAATCGAAGTATACATCAAAATCAAACCATGGGGTGACTAGAGAAACATACATTATATTTGAGATAAAGTGAAATGCTATACAAGATGATATGTAAATATCGTAGATATGCATCAAGAAGTATTAAAGCCTATGGCATTGCCAAAATGTTCAAAATGAGGCTGGCATGACATAAACCCTTTCCCATAAAGAGGATAAAAATCTTGTTAAAACAGGAAAATACATCCAACCAAACGCAGTTGCTTTTATGCTGAAAACTCAATAGATTGGATCAAAAAAATTATGAATGACCTTAAGTTTTATGCATTGAATGACTGTAGTAGAGAACACTGGACATGCATTATTTTATGCGTGAGATGTTTATTATTTTATTGAAAGGGCAGTATCTGTAATTCTGATCCAAAGATTTTTCAAAACTTTTTCACGGACTTGCACCCTCAATAAACTTTGGTTCCAGCCTTCTTTTATGAAGATATCAAAGCTAAAGTTGCACAATTTGGATATTTAGGACCAGAATTACAGAAACTAGCTCGTAGTTAAAACATTGCTCTTCTTATATGGACCTTAAATAGTAATAATTAAATTGCAATGAGCAATGTGGCATAAGGTGGGTGAAGCAAAATGTTCTCCGCTGTTTTCCATTTGTCTTGACATTAGTTATAATGTCTTATAAAGGCCATAAAAAGTGCCATACAACAATCTGCATGAGACTTGCTTGACTTAGCAGTTTCTGGAATAAATAAATAATGTTGTATGTCAATTCTTGCTATGATATATAGTGAAGAAAGTAAGAGTGATATATGTATGACTGATTTATTACCAGTGCATGGCATCATTTGCATATGCAGTCAATTTCCAGCCAAATTATGCCAGGTAGAGTTAATTCATCATTCATATAAGGTGTTACCTAAAGCTTTTGAGCTAGTTTTGTAACCGTGATCCTTGATGATCCCAAAATGATCCTAAAAGTCCTCATAATTTATTAAAACCTACTTCATCCATGGACTGTTTGTTACAAAGCTTGGATAATAAAGAAAGTTTATATTTAATTCTAAAGTTGCATGTTACTTCTTCAAATATTTTGGGATACTTTAGGATCGGATTTACAGAATGCCCCTTTAATATAAGGGAAATGTGGATGTAAATACGCACTTGCATGAAGCACGCAGAATTGTAGTGTATCTCAGTTGTTCTTCTGAGGTGGAAGCTTCCATTTTAAAAGACAATGTGGAACCATTGAACTAAACTGACACTGTTGTTCACAAGTGAAATGTCAAATGTAACTGAATGATAAAAACATATAACTAGATGTAAGAATCTCGATGAACATAAGACATGTATATGAACAGTTTATGTACATAAAATAAATATAGCCGAACATAACCTATACAGTATCTGTAAATAAATTGTGCAATGGTGCTGATTAATTCAGGCGAGAATTCAAACATGACATTTCATTGGTGAACAATATTCAAAGAAGGATTTTGACTGTTGACAAAAGCACATTACATGTAAGCAATACCAAGTATATATATTTATATCACTTTCATATTCCTCACTCTCTGATTGGTCTATGTTCTACATGTGACTTAAAAATAAGAAGCGATATTCAATGGCAGTTCACGTGACTGGTAAATATCAAATGATATTCATTAGTCATGATTTAGTCCAATTTCAATTTTATATATTCTTGGGAGTACATTATTATTGTTTTAATTAGACATTTGTTAGTTTGTTATTCAATCGATGTGAGTGAGGAATATTACAGTGAATAATAAAACAAATATTTAATTCTTTTGAGGTGAATATCTGTATCTTAAACAAGTGATATTCCACGAAGCACAGGTGTTAATTCACCTCAATAGAATTCAATATTTGTATAATATGAGGTGCTTCATTTTCTGAAAATTTGAATTTCAGATGATGGTTCAAACCCATGGTCTTCATAATGAGCTTAATACATGTGGCATTCACCTATAGTCATGGGTTTGTGATCAAATAGATGTACATTGTTTTAGTTAAGATTTTTATTAACACTTAGATGTGCATAATTAAAGTGTGAATTGAATATAAGAAACATTCTGTAGAATACACAGGAAGTTCTCATTCTACAATTAACTGGAATGTAACATGTTCATGTAAGGTATAGTTCATGAACATGTAAGGTATAGTTCATGAACATGTAAGGTATAGTTCATGAACATGTAAGGTATAGTTCATGAACATGTAAGGTATAGTTCATGAACATGTAAGGTATAGTTCATGAACATGTAAGGTATAGTTCATGAACATGTAAGGTATAGTTCATGAACATGTAAGGTATAGTTCATGAACATGTAAGGTATAGTTCATGAACATGTAAGGTATAGTTCATGAACATGTAAGGTATAGTTCATGAACATGTAAGGTATAGTTCATGAACAATTGTCAATTAATATTAAATCCTACTAAGTATAAGCAGTCTAACATTTTTTGTTCAAAATGGTGGATGATATATAGTTATCATTATTATTATATTATATTTGTTATACTTTGTTTTATGGGGAAAGTGGTCAGTTAACTATTTACTTACAGATAATAACTCATATTGAGTCTATATTCTTTTTAGAATGGCTTCCACTATTTTCTGCACTAAATGTAAGGCTGTATATGTACGTTTTATTACTGGAGTTTTCTTTGGGATGTCACTGCAGCACATGCTATTGTCAAGTTGCCAATTATGTTTGTCTGTTGAATATGTGTGTAATTTGACATTAAGTATGCTCTGTAAATATTGAATAAATATTTTTTATACTTAATTGAAACATTTATGTTGCATTGTTTTCATGCAAAAATGGAAGTGGTCATCAACCATTCTTGTTTTTTGAAGACCTACAGATGGGTCTGTCCTAAGGAATAAAATCACAATTTATTAATTTGAGAATCTTCATTTCTACTCAGAGCCCATCAACAAAATGGGACTAGCTTAAATAAGTCCGAACTCCCCAAATCATATTCCAACCCATAAATATTTGAACAATTCAGAGGAATTCTGGTATGTTTGAGTTGTTTGTAAACTCATGCCATCTTTAAAATGTCTAGCCTTGTAGCTTGCATATCCAAAATGGCAGCATTTACATTATCAAGGAGGATATTGAAATAGAATATGGTTGTACTTTCTCTAAGTACAAGATCTTGATGATAAAAGCTCCTTTGAAGAACTATCACAATAATTAACTCAATAAAAATTTAATTGTGAAAATACCCTGAAATCATTTTAATTGTCTACACAGTAAATTGAACATCAAAATGAAACTTTCATGAATATTAAACATTCATCTCTATTCCAGAGACTATACACAACACTGACCAAGGTTCTTAATTGCAAGAGTATAGAGGTGATCTTTTAGCCTTTCAGTTCCAGATAGGTTCTCCATACACTATATAGTTTATGTCCTAAAGTAAAACCTGTATTTCCTGAGCTGATCTGGACTACTTTCATCAAGGAATTATTATTGTTCTCCAAATGCATTCTCATAAAAACTATAAGCTTGCGTTGATTGATTGTTCAATGTTCTGTGGTTGATTAAGAGTCAACCACTTCCCTAACAACAGGATCATTTGGGAACTCTCGAACGCCATTCAATATTATACATTATTCAGAAGTCAATCAAGGGGGTCACCTGTAGCCTCCTCTTACAATCAGTGGATCATGCTCTCTTCCAGAAGTTGTGTCACGAGGTAGATCTGCAATGATAATGTACACATGGTTATCTTAAAATGGATATACTTGTATAAGTTGAAATGATGAATTCTGCAAGTGAAACTAGAAGTTCTGCTAGGGAAAAACTTCTGCTGGATTTCTCAATTTAAATGAAAAAATGAGGCAAATATGACAAAAATATTAAGAAAGACATTTGTTCAGTCTGCGCTCTGCAGAAATAGAAAACTGTTAGAGGTGATATATCTGCATATTCAATACATTGATACTTAAGTTATCTCATTTGTGTCCAAAAACAAACTTTGAATTAAAGCAATTTACTTTGTTTGTACATTGTATTCACAAGACTGGACCAATATAATCATTATATCTTAATATTCTATCCCTTTTTTAATTTGATATTTTAAGACAGTATAAAGTCTAAAGAGCCTTGAAATAAAGCCTGGTATTCATTTGATAGTTTTCTTACAGTGTTGTCTGTCAATATCATCCTGCACATTCCGTTGACTTGGCAATTGTTGCTTCTCTCTACTGTGATGTGGTTTACTGTCGGTCTTCCTCCCCAGGAAATGAGCCACTATACCATACAATAAAGGCCTACAATGTAATTAAAAATACTATAATCTGTTTGATTCAGTAACAGTATTGTGTATATGCATACATTATGGTAGATCCGCATGATGTGAACGGGCTTATCTATACATATGTATGTTAACGAAGAATGTAATTTTTGAAATCAAATTATTCTGATTAAATGCTGAAGTGACATTTCCTCAAATTCTCTTGAGAGAGTGTAGAATAACCTTCATGCTTAACCTGACTGAAAATACAATACAGTGAAAAAAGTTTCAAATTTGCATTTCATTTTTAGCTGCCCCAAAAATGCTCTCGTCTTTTCTACATCTTTTAATATGCTGGGAACAGACAGAATAAAATCCATGGAATATGTTTATGAAATATCCCTTTTATACCCAAGAAAATACTGCCTTAGCATCCTCATTGTAGCTACTACTCATTCAATGATACTATTACAGGTTACTGATGTTGATAGTAAATTTTCTCTTGAGAAAGTTAACATGTTAATATACTAACACTGAGGCAGAATCTTTGTCTTCTTGCACATTGAGTTCATTACTCAGGAAGGCTCTGTCAAGGGGTGTACTAGGCTGACCTGATTCTGGAAAATATCATTAAATAAGAACTTAAGAAATTAGGCATGACAAGGAATGACATGGGACAAGAAAATGCAGAAGAGGGTGTGGAATAAAAAATAGTCCAGTGGTCCTGACTTTTGGTCTTGACCAGTTTACTTTTTTAGCATGTATAGGAAAATTATATTGCAACTGGTCCATAGCTCATCTTTGTCCAGCATGTCTAAAGTTCTTAGGCTAAACCGTGATACTGAATAAGTCAGGATTTTTCCTTTTTGGAAAGTTGCTAGCTCTAGATACTTTCTTTAATGATTGACTATCCTCCGATCTATTGGGGTTGCTTACACATACCTGCAACTAACACAGAAGCTGCATACTTATACTTGTTAAATTCAAGGTATTCTCTTATCAGCTCATTTATCAGCATGTTTTCATTACTGAGACTTGGCCGGGTTTCTGTTTGGTCATCTAATGCATTGAAGACTTCAGCTCGAATCCTGGCTTTAATCTGACCCAAAACACCACGGTTTTCTAGCGTCTCTTTCACAACTAAAACAACAACAAAACGACAAGTGTTACAAGTCTAACATATACATGTTCCTATAGTCTGATAAAATCTCCTGACAATGCATTAATGTGATAGCCATGACAAAAAATCTGAATTGCATATTTTTCAAGGAAAAATACAATTTAGGTCAACATTTTCCTTAAAAACCTTTACCCCCATATATTATTGGATTGATATGCGTTTTATTTCAAATGTCATGAAATAAGAAAAACGCAAATCAACTCCACTTTTATGGGGGTAGCCTGGAGAGGGGGTAGTCTTTATATTAAATTATGGTCACATAATACAGTCACTCTTTAGTATTTCAGCTTTTTTATCAAAGTTTTATTATAGATCTCGTAGACCGGTAGATGACCAGCATTGATGTCATTGAATGGCTGTCCGCTATAGCGATCTTTATTCTAGCTGCGAAAGATTTCTTTAAAATAAAACTTTTTTGATTGGATAAGAGGAAATGACGTAAAATACGTCATTCTAAGTAGGTCTTGGCAATTCAATAATTCAATATTTTGCCGCCCTCAATTTAGAATAATTGTGCAGTTAAACATGTAATGCATCTGTCAATACATTATTGCACTTTTGTTATATGTTTTTTTCATCAAAACATGAAAACGCTAGCCAACTTTTTGTTAACATTCAACTAATATTTTATTAATTATTCGGACCTGATTCTTTATTTACATTCGCCATATTGAAATTGATAAACAAGTCAACACAAGCACATGGACTAAATGTTCGAACTTGCCCAGAAGTATACGATGGATTTTGCCAGTATATATAAGGACATGATCGTCAGATACAGTCAGATCACATCTCGACATCGAACTACTAGACACTGCAGTGGAAAAAAGAATAAAGAGAGAAAATTCAGGCGAATTTATTGGAAACTTCAACTTGGATTGGATTGATTGAATATTACAGATTGAAGGTAGGACTTTATGCATTATTATACCACTTGTCACGGCTTTGATTCTCTCTCATTGAATTTGAATGATTTGAACTCGAAGTCTGTGGGTTTAAGGTGGGATAGAGAATACACAACGCCAACCTTGGGGTTCTATGGGATGTTGTTTAACCTCAGTAGTAAATGTAAATAATCTCGATCAATCTAAGCCCATCTACTACTACAGGGTAAGAATTAATCTAAATACAATTATGTTGCAGACTTGCAGTTTATAAAATGGCACCAAATACTATAACAGCAGATTTGACAGATGACAGCACTGGCTCTATGATAACACACACTCCAGGGGGACCAATGGAGATCATCTTCAGCTTCGATACAACTGGTTCTATGTCCTCTTGTCTCGCGGAAGTGCGCAAACAGGTACAAACAATAATGATATTTATCGTCAACTTGTTCTTTATTGCTACATTTTGTTTATAACTTGGATATTAATTACTTTTGACAGATAATCCAAAATTTATAAACACTGCAATATAATATAGTTGATTTATTCCATTATTAGTACATCATTTTTTCAATATAACGATTATGATTCATGTTTGCAATAGTAAAATAATTTGTTAATTTATTAATTTTACCAGCAAAGTTTATAAAGAAGGATGTTATATTTTCTGCTATCATTTACTGTTTATCATTAATCATTAATTAAATTCATACTATAAATACTCAGCGTTTACCAATAAATTGTTAAATAATTCCTCATTACTTCCAGGTAAACCATATCATTCAGCGACTCTTCATGGATATTCCATCCCTCAAAGTTGGAGTCATTGCACATGGTGACTATTGCGATGCTACAACGTACTATGTGACAAAGCAGATTGATTTCACCAATGACATCACAGCACTCTGCGACTTTGTTGAAAATACAGGTGGATCTGGAGGCGGGGATTACGCAGAATGCTATGAATTGGTGCTTCAAAAGGTAGGTTTGTTTTCTATTTTATTTACAGTACACAGTTTTATATTTTTTATAAATACATAAATACCTGTCTATGTGGAATACCTTTGGTAAATCTAAAAAGTGTTCCACTTGGGGTGTGTTCCACTTACAGAGGTTCATTAAACATGCAGTCAGTTAGTCTGACTGAAAAGTGTTCCACTGACAAAGGTGTACCACTTGTAAAGGTGTTCCTCTTTACAAGTTTCACTGTATTTTATATTAGGATTATAAATATCATAAGAATAATGGTTTGACAATAAGAAATTTTCATTTTCCCTGGCATAATCAAATTTAAAATAAATAAAATATGGTCATAATTGAACTATTGTCACATTTTATTATAAAGCAATTGTTCCATTTGCCCATTTACTTTTTAGGTGAGGACATCATTTGATTGGACACCAGGCTCCCAGAAGTCCCTCGTAATGATCGGGGATGCCATTCCCCATGAGCCAAACTATCCCGCCAATAAAGGAAATATTAACTGGAGGACAGAAACCAAAAAGCTTTATGAGGAATTGGTGAGTCATTTTGTAATCATTATTATTCCATCGATTTATCATTAAAACTATTAACTCAAAAAATAAATATGTTGATATCTACATATTTTTGTTTTCCAAATTCTTAACCTATTTGTGTTGGTTGTTGATTTTGCAGGTGTGTGTGAAAATTAAACTCATCACACATTATCTATGCATATTTTCAACATGAGTGACATCTATTTAAAGGGTGTGAAGATATATGGAGTACAGTGCCAGGACAACGTAGACTCAAGCAAGTTCTTCAAGCAAATATCATCTCAAACTGGTGGGAAACATTTGAAACTTGCAGAATTCCAGACCATAATTGACATGATGATGGCTATTTGTTATAGAGAACATGGAGTTGAATATTTTGAGGTAGGTACTGTACTTTTACTTAATTTTGCGGCCATTTTAAATAGCTGCCAAATCTTATGTACTATTAAATAGTACATTGTCATATTGCAAGTCCGCCAAATTAAGTAACCACCAAATGTTTCCCTTTTCCTCATGTTTAAAAGTGAATATAGAGATAACTAAATTACAAAAGTATTGATTTTAAAGTTTGGTGATCACAATTTTGAATGATATTTTTAAAATTCTTTTGAGTCTCCTTCAAAAACAATTAAATAGTGCATGAATCGAGGATTTATGAAATTAATTCCTTTTGACAGGCCTACGAGAAAGAGGTCCGTGAGCGTGAAGGAAAAGGAATGCGTGGCGAGTTGACAAAAATGTTTGATGCTCTCCGTGATCCAGATTCCCATGATGCAACAGATGAGGCTATGACACCAATTATCAAGAGGAAGAAAAAATCAACCCCAAAGAAAGCTCCAAGAAAATTCCAGATGAGCCCTAAAGTGACACCCAAAGTCACGGTGAAGACTGCTACTACTACTCCCAAATTGAAAGTTGTGAAGATGACTCCAAAGACCTTAAGAGTCGTCAAAAGGTCACCAATGAAACTGTATCCATCTTCCACAAAAATTGCCAAGGTAAACATGAGGCCAATAAAGTTAAATGATCCTTCTTTCACAGTTTCTGATACTGTTTCTAAAAGGTGTTTGAGAAAGCGCAATTGGTAATATTTTTGAAAACAAAACAACACAAACTCTATAAATTGTAGAATATGGGTGTAGGGCTATTTTTGGAGCTAATACAGCTGAGCTGTTCCAGTGTAGCTACCATTTTCATGCTCTGTGCAATGGCAAATGTGTACAAATGGCTATATTGTTTTACATGACTGTACAGCATATGTAACTCCTGTACTTGCAGATTCCACGTCATAATAGAGAAAATGTTGCAGAAATTCACTTCTCTAGTGCAACCCTTGCATGGTCTCCATGGAAACCTGTGAGCAACATCCTCGAGTTTCGCTCCATTTACTCTATGAAGCAAAACCAGAGCAGATCTAAGTCATTTCTGTATGAGTTAGCAGTGCAAACCAAACCATACACCCGTAGATTCCCAGTATATATAAAACTGGCTACCAGGTGTCTCCACTCTACAAATGGAGCCCTTAGAATGTACATAAACAATGATGAAATTCGTGAACAACTGGAAAATGTTGAAAAACAAGGTTGCAAATTGTTCGCTCGTTGCTTGGAGATTAAACGACCAGTGACATGTTATGGACGTAAATTCACAAATGGACAAGATTTGAAGAAATTCCTTGTGAAATCATATGATTATGCATGGAACTTGAAAAGCATGAAAAGATCTGAGGCAAGAAATGTAGTCCAATGTGGAGTTGTCATCTCAAGGGGCTCGGAGTGATCTTGACTTCTAAATGCAGTAATCAAATTACTCATTAAGAAACGAGGTGTCAAGGCCTACCTGCTATTGGTCTGACAACCAAGGATGTTGTTTGTTGCCTGAGGATCAAATGACCGAGAACACATTTTATATACTGTAGATGGACCTGAGAAACATGGAATGGATATAACGTGAAAAGATCAAGGGACATATGCAGACTATATTGAATTTCTTCTTCATAGTATTTGCATATTTATGCATGTAACATTAATGATTATTAATGCAGTGATTATAATTTGTTATGCAGTAATGTATGTATATAACTATTCAAATAGTCATCAGTATAGTACTCATTGTGCATGTCTGACTTCATACAGTTATAAAGCCAAATAATGAATGTAAAAACATTAAAAAATTGTAATTAGAAGGTCAAGCAATATTGTTTTTTAAATAAAACATTAGATTGATGTCTTATACATAAAATGATGTACATGTATAAGATATTATGATAAAAGATTTATAATATAATATATATAAATTATATGTAACCAGTTAGTGGTAGAATAAATGTATAAAGAAATTCATATAATGATTATTTGTTTGAGAAAAAGCTCTATCCACATTCTAGAATATTAATTGACTATAAGGAAGTTGATGTAAATTACTACTTTCCAAAATGATTCATGATGTATTATCAAATGGTGAAATTATTTAAAACTTAATAATGCATATGAAATCCAGAAAAGAACTTGTTAATTAAAGGCAGAATCAGATCCATAGGGGGTGACAAAACTACAAGCAATATGTACAATTGACCTACCAATCTATTCCTTACAATGTCAAAGACAAAATCTCCAAAAAGAGTCCCGATATGTTATAAAATGGTGTAGTATAATAGAAATCAAAAATGGGTGAAAAATGTTTAAATTCTCCAAAATAATAAGAATGGTACCATTCTTATCGAAAATAATACATTATTGTAAAAATCTTTAGTTTTAAAGTGTGCACTTTTGGGATTTTTAGAAAATAGACATGAAAGGGAATGACATAAACAAAAATATTCTAAAATTGAAACAATTTTGTGTTAGGCTGCTGGCTAGATCTGATTCTCTCTTTAAATAGCCCTGAAAAAATAATTATTACAAGGCCATCCCTGACCAACCTGACAATTTTAATAAAAGTTTACCAATTTATCAAAGTGATCACTCTCTTCTTGTAACTTAAGTTACTGTAGGAGGTGTTAACATGCAAAATGTGTGTCACCTCCTGTCATTTGTTACAGACACTAAACACCAAATGCAGAACACCGAACACCATCCACAAAAAAGGTTGGAGACTATAACAATATGTCAGCACTTCATGTAACAACATAATGAAATAGAGTGTGTATAGTTTAAAGCCAAAAACAGACACCCCTCCATGAACAGTAATATTTTGGTGTATATATGTGAAAGAATCAAGAAAAAATACTAAGAAAAAATCATCAAAATCATCAAAATCATCTAGGCCCTACACTCTGTTAAGCATGATAAAAGGCAAGAAGTTTAGTTAGAAATAAAAGAGTTATCTCATGAATGGGACCCTTATATGGCGCCTAAAAGGTAGAAGACACTAAATGGTGTAACACTATAAGCTGAATTTTGTCCACATAGAGCATGTGCACAATACTAAAGACATGTAAAATTAGGCTGTCAAAATAATAGAAATTACTCACCAGCTCGCCTCTACCGGAAGTTATGATACGTTATGGTGTAACTACGGTAATTAATTTTAAAATATTGAAAAAATCAACAACATTCAATTTCTAGGGTGTACAACCATTTTCGAGCGAATTTGCCGATATAATAACAATATTTTTGAGTTCCCCTAGGCTATATATAAACTTCATCAATGCACAGTATATTCAACATAGGTTTTGCTTCTCGATTTTTAAATATCACTATGCAAAGACAGGGACTCTTACTCACGTCGAGAGCTACCATGTTAGATTTTGAAAGTATAGCTCTCCATCGTGAGGATCTCCCAGCTGAAGAATTGTGACATCTAATTTTGATCAGCGCCAGTCAACGGCTTGCTGTTTGTCTCAAACTGTAGCCTACATTATGGGCTCATATGTGTCTACTTTCCCCGTGCATGTAGGATCGCGGATGTGCTTCTATGGCGATCAGGAGTTCTAATTGTTATTGTTCGATACCCATTTCCAATATGGCGGTTAAACGGAAATACTATCGACGCATGCGCAACTTGGGAAACGTCAAGCCGCCATATTGAATATACCTGGCCAAAACTTTTGACACGACCAATAAAATGAAGTCCTGATCGATACATAGGGCAGTGAGACGTTCTATAGTTGAGCTGAATGAAAATGGCGATGTAGGATACATTTTCAGGTATATAATGTGCAACATGAGTCAGCTGAATTCCCTGAAATTTTCTTTGAAGTCAGGATTCTTAAGCTGTTGATTCTAGCGATAGAGAGCTATACTTTCAAAATCTAAGTAGCTCTCGACGGGAGTAAAGGGACTCATTTTAGGTAAAATCATTGCTTCACCAATGAAAATTAAAGGGAACGTTAGCTCACAAAATAAATAAATCCATTACAATGTTAAGTATATGATTTGAAAGATTGTCTGGATTATATGTGTGATCGATTGATGCATAAACAAACATATTCATTTCAACTTGCAGACCTCCATTCTGGCTCATGTATAGGCCTAAGACGCCATATTGCCTTATGTATTGTACTGCCCATGCGTGCATACTTAATGCGTGACGTCACATCGACAGAGATCAGCGATCAAGTTTGACTAAAAAATTAAAAGATCCACACTTAACAGCACAAAAATGATATCAATGATCGCCTATTTCATATCAAATAAGTGTAGGATGTAAGGTTTAACATTTTTCATGTTATTTAGTATTTACAGAAGCAGAGCTTGTAAAGAAACCAAGTTTTAAATTCCGATTTTGACTGTTGACAAAAATAAAGAAAAGAGAGAAAGAGGTGACTTGTTAGAAACAATGACATGAAATTGTGAATAAAAAAGATATTATTGTGGGTTTTATTTTTTGAGAGTTCATCAAATACACTCATGTGTATTAATTTAAATATGTATTGTAATACCTCTCAGTTCTACCAAGGATTATAAAAACTGATCTAAATGGCTTCGTTTTTAAAGTATAAAAAACACTACCCTACCCGGAAGTAGTATAACATGTATATTGAAACCATGTGTAAACAAGGGAAAGATCAATACCCGGTGATTTCAGCGGGAAGTGGCGTTTCGTTCAGTGGATGAGCTGCGCGCGCACGCATAAATGTAATTATCCAATATAATTAGGGGAGGGCTATTTGAAATAGTTTTTGGTCTCAGGCGCGACCCAGGGCTGTTGTCTTAAGGACATTTCGTTGAAAATGAGCCATTCGGCTGATAATTGGTAAGAGTTTGCGATCTTATAATGTATAACTGTTACTCAGACACATATTTTGACACGATTCTGTTGGAAATAAGCTTTGAACCGAGAGATACTCACGATTTATATGCACATTTTTGATTGTGCCATTGCTTTTCCATTGCACAATCCATGTATTGATAGAATAAACATTAATAATGCAGATTGGTTTACCTTCAATACATGGCAGACACTACATATCGGTCTATTAATACCAGTTTGTGCCTTAAATAGTTTTATATTTCCATCCACGGCCTGGAGCCTGGGTGTGTTTGTCTCTTATGTGTATGCTTGTGCATGGACTTCTAATCACTAGCAGAATTTAACATGATGCAAACTCGACATTATAACTCATGCTGTAACATTTTGACTTCGCTGGAAAACAATAGGAATTATTTTTCTTGCCAATCAATCATGAATCACAATCAAAATTTCAGAATGAGCAATCAGGCAATGATCCAAATCAAGTTATAACATTATATGATATTCAGCAAGAAGTCCGGTAGAAATACAGAATATTTAAACATCAAAGCTTAAAGTTAAAATCTAATCTGTCAATTTTCTGTCTGCAAAAGAGCGTTTACATTTGACACAATAACAGACTGAGGCTTTGAAATCTAGGATTCCCCAGGAAAATATGACGTCATACTAATTAGCATAAGGATTTCCCTATTGGTTTGGGTCGAGCCTTGTTCGAAAACACAATCCATAAATACATGCTAATTTCTAAGGAGATAGGAAGTGTATAACGTGTTTATCGATTTTGTTTAAATATTTAATCAATTATCAAATTGTTTAAGTGGATAAAGTGGTCACACTTGCTTCAATTCATAGCGAAATCGACGGATAGAAACTGACCGAATTCCCGATATCCTACCCCGTATTACTGTAGGCTATAAGCACAGTGACCTACAGAGGGCGCTATCACAAACAAGTACTGCACGAACCGATAAATTCCCGGGTATTGTAACGCCCTTGGTGTAAACTGTAAATCACGTGAATTGGCTGATGCAATCAGGATGTGACTAGTACAAAGTAACTATGATGCAATCAGGATATGACTTGTGCAAAATAATTGGCTTCACCTAGAATTCGCGATCTTTGCTCTTTAGCATAACATGAAGACATGTTTTGTGTTTAAGTAGCTAGATTCAAATACAAACTAAATGAATAAAACATAAACCAACCATCATTTGTTCCAATCATGGCGAATTTTCAAGGAAATACGTGTAACTGAATGTAAATCAACAGCGGAGCTCTTCAATTATGAGGTGAGAAAAATATAAAAATAAAAACAAAAATAAATCTCACAGAATAGAGCTATTTATACGATTCTAAGTACATTTTAAGTGCTCCATACATTAATGTAAGTATAAAAGCCATTAACCTCAACTGGGAAGCACTTTCCAACTATTTTTACGGCTTGAATTGTAAGAAAATGGCACTTACATGTATCTCAAAAAATGGAGATTTGAAAGAAGCTCAATTTATTGTGAAGATGAAGTTTATATATATCTGTATATGGGGGTGCGAATATATAGTCATAGTATGGGCTAATTCGCTTAAAAATGGCGATATATACCTCAGAACTTGTATTTTGTGATTTTTTCAATATTTTAAAATTAATTACCGTAGTTACACCATAACGTATCATAACTTCCGGAAGAGGCGAGCTGGTAAGTATATTTCAGTTCTTTTGACAGTTCAATTTTACATGTCTTTAGTATTGTGCACATGCTCTATGTGGACAAAATTCAGCTTATAGTGTTACACCATTTAGTGTCTTCTACCTTTTAGGAGCTATGTAAGGGTCCCATTCATGAGATAACTCTTTTATTTCTAACTAAACTTCTTGCCTTTTATCATGCTTAACAGAGTGTAATCATCAAAAAGAAACATGAAATGACAACATTGGGAGTTTGGGACTTGTTAAGGTTCAAATTATATTCTATTCAAATTCTATCACTGTTAAACTATACATCTGCTATAAATAGGCTTATTAGCCTTTTGCAGATTATCGATGTAGATGTACATCCCCGGGTGTACATCTTGAAAAAATATTCTACAAAAAGGTGGGCGATAATATGTGATAAATATTTTTTTTACTTTCTATCAGTGGATTTTACCTTATTGCAAAGTAGAATTTCTGTAACATTGAATCTGCCCATGTTATGTAAGTACTACTTAATACACTGACGACATTAAAATTGTCATAAACACTACGTATATAGGTACATACCCGATTTTAACTCTTGAATATTTGCCATAATTTCAAATCTTCCGCAATGTTGACGTCAATGTTTTGGTCACATGACATTCAAAATGGCGTACGCGGTGAAACAAATTCTGAAATCTGCAGAAGCAATTCGTGAAGCAGAAGCTCTGATCATCACTGCTGGTGCTGGCATGGGGGTAGATAGTGGACTGCCAGATTTCAGAGGACCAGAGGGCTTTTGGAAAGCATACCCACCGTTCAAAAAGCTTGGATTACGCTTGCAAGATACGAGCAATCCAAAATGGTTTGAAGATGACCCTCATTTTGTTTGGGGATTTTTTGGACATAGATACAACCTATATTCGAAAACTGTACCTCATAATGGTTTTCAGATTCTGAAAAAGTGGGCAGACAAAATGAACAAAGGTTACTTTGTGTTTACGAGCAATGTCGATGGACATTTTCAAAGATCTGGTTTTCCTGAAGACAAAATTGTGGAATGTCATGGCAGTATAAACTTTATGCAATGCACCGATTCAAGCATAACAGACAAAATATGGCAAACGCCCAAAGACCTTAAATTAAACATTGATGCTGAAACTTTCAAATGTGTTGGAGATTTACCAATGGGTCCACCCGAGGATCCTACCAATCTAGCTAGACCAAATATCCTTATGTTTGGAGACTGGGGCTGGGTCGGTACACGCACAGATGAACAGGAAGCCAGATACTGGAAATTCAAACAAAAACTTTTTAAGTTTGCTTCTACAAAATTTGTTGTAATTGAACTGGGAGCAGGGTTAGCTGTTCCAACTGTTCGTTATGAGAGCGAGGGACTTGTTGGACATGGTATACGTGGGACATTGATTCGCGTTAATCCACGTGAACCTGATATACCTTATGGTAGTGACCATATTTCTATTCCAAAGGGTGCTTTAGAAACATTGGAGAAAATAGATGAAATTATGGAACAATGAGTATAGTCTGGTGTAAATGTTTCTGTAAAGCATAAACATCAATTACATATACATGTACAGTGTATATGTACTGTAAACCTTGTCTTAGAAAACACCTGTGTTTAGAAATCAGCACTTCAAAACATGTTTTACATAGACTCCTGCATAAAATCCCCTCTCTGTAATGAATACTTTCTTCTGGCTCCACAGGTGTTCACTATATACAGGTTTTACTTATACATGTAAGTGATGTACATATAACTTTTAAGTAGGTCATAGACTTTACACCAGTACATGTAGATATAAACATGATATATATTAAAAATTTGTATATTTAATTTTTTTTAATTTTTGTCAAATTGATATTTGAACTGCACATTTATTAAAATATTTTAATGAAATGGATGTTTTTTTATTTTTGAGTATGTGATATGTAGGTTTCCCCTTTTTCCAGCAAATACTGTAGTACGACAATTGTGAAATTTTGGATAAAATTAGTTTTACAAATTATGGGATTTTCATTTAAAAATTATTAGTAGTATTTTGAAAAGTGGAATTCTTGTGGAAAATGAAAATTGATACAAATGATTTTATCAACAAAAATCAAAATCAAACCACCAAATAGAGATATTTTGTGATGTTTTAATTTGGTGAATCTACATCACTATCGAATCTGAGTATTGATGTATTGTGATGTAACCTGGTAACATTGCATCCTAAGATGAAAGATGAGACATGAAATGAGGTCAGAGTTGCCAACATCCTGATACAGTAAAAATGGTACTTTTTGAGTTAGTCCTGCTGTCACTAATTTTGATTCATGTTTTATAAGATCAAGCAGCTGAGGGGATTGTTACTATAAGAAACCATATTCTCTCTAATGAGTGCACAGGGCACTTCCCAAATCAATATTTAAGCGGCAGACTCCAATAAGCGCACATACAAAACATTCATAAAATAAAATTGTCGATAATCTTTTCTGTTGTTATCACTAAGGTTCACATACTCTACAGCTCCTTTATCTCTTTCTCTGCATTTAATATAAGTATCAATCTATATCTTGTTGAGTAAATAATAGAAACTAATGCATTTAACTTTTGTGTTTTCGTGAGTCCATATTCATTATAAAAGCTGCATGTGCGCTCATTGGAACTGTGCACTCATTAGACAGAATACAGTAGTCTAGTTTTAGTTTATTGCGATTTAAATTGTTGCTTCTTGGTTTACTGATAACAATAGTTATCTGGCTGCATCTAGTGAAATACTAAATGAATCATATGTAATATGGTTTAACACATGTACATATAGTACAGTACATGTACATAAATAAACATAACACATCATTTATATGATTGAAGCATTTTGATCTTTATTATTTTTGCAAGAAAAACAAGATAACATGATATATAGATGCATCCTCATTCACACCATCCCCATGGCTAAACATAGTGGAGACAGGTGTACAAAGATGATATAGATGAGCTGTCATGGATGATTACTTATTCAAGCCATGGATTATAGATTCTGTACATTCTCAATTTTTATAGTGAGGACTCTTGATGGTTGGTGTTCAGTCCTGAGATTAGATAAATTATTTCTACTGTCCTTCCTTTAATTCCTAATATGGATATAATTTATCCCCTTCAAAATATGACCAATCATCAATTAACAAGGGATAAACATGACAAAATGTCACCACCTAGTTGCTCACAAAATTATGAGTTCAATCTTAGTCAGATTTGAACTTCTGAGAACTTGTAGATGATTGTGAAAAAATTAGAAGTCAATCTAAATGGTATTTGTTAGGTTACTGGAAGTTTTTAGAATTTGTTTAAGATGCCGGATGCCAACCACCTACTGCCACCGCCAACCGCCGTCACAAAAAACGGAGACCATAACAATATGTCATCACTTTTGGTGGTGACATGAAAATTGAAGCATAATTTACAAAATAGGCTAGTATTTTCTAGTCTTGGTTCAAGCTCTTGTGACTAACCTCCATCCACAACACAAATTACCCTCATCGGGGGTGAAGTAGACATGGGTGTCCCACTGGCTTGATACAAGACTAAATAGTTTTATGTCGCGTCAACACTTCTTATTCTATCATCAATTATTTGTTACTCCCTAACTTCTTACCCTTACCATTAAAATTGATGAAATAAAAATACACTTAAAATGAATAATAAAACCCTAATAGTGCCTGGTTATATTTTAATACAGGCATTTTATCAATGCTTGTTCATGTTAATCTAACTAACTTGAATAATTAACTAAAGCTCTACTAAATCTTTTTGAAAAATATGGAATGTAATGATTCCCTGCACGGTTTAGTGTCTCAATAATAAACCCATATACCCATTTATGTCATATCTCAAGCATAGCTACCAACCTAAAACAACATTATTTAGGTAATTTCAAAAACTAGTTTATTTTATGGATTTTAAAAGCACCACATTTCAGTTTATTTTAGGTTGGCAGGTCGGATTTGAAAGACATGATAGGCCTACATGTTATTTCTTAATGACAATAAACAACAAGAATGCAAATATATTTTTGAAAGCCTTCTTAGTCTGCCCATTTATGTCTATAAATGTTTCATGGATGTATAGAACAATACTGAAGTGTTATGAAATACTGTTCCTTTATTAAAGACTGCCATGTGAAGATGGGATGTTAAGTATTATAATTCAAAAATGGGTGCAATTTCTTCAATCAAACTCATTGATTCTCAAATAAAGCCCAACTTTTCATATTATAACCCATGGGCATTAACTAAAATAACTTTCAAAAATTTGTTGAATGACAAATAAATAAACATAAAGTTCCAATTCATACGACATTGGTATTCCCAGGATTCTCAATTACCAACTACTAGTTACTACTCTTATATTCACATAACATTGTAAATACGCTTAAATATCACATGTATAGTATCAGTCAATTTTATACAGTTTGTTGCAAAAATAAAATATATTTAAAATCCCAATAATTCTATGTACAATTCTGGTTTCGTATATGTAAAATTTGTACAACTTCCCAAAAGCTTTAACAAAATACACTGCAATGTTAAGTCACATGGAATTCATGTACAAACTACTGAAACCAGTAGAGAATATTCTGAAATACAGAATATTCAATTAATATTATATTATTTTCTTTATAATTCCCCTATAAACATGTTTTTGTTCCTCGTTGGGCTTTCTAAAGGAAGTTCATGTTCCTCCCAAGTCCTGTATAAATATGCCTAATTAGCAGATATAATCGGCTATTATTTCATACTTTGATCAATTGTTTTAAAACATGTTACTCATAATTCTGTTTTTTGGCATCTAGGAACCCATGGCATATCAAAGACCCATGGCATATCAAAGACCCTTGGCATACCAGTGATAATGTACAAACCATTTGTTCTAATGCCATTTGTTCATTTTAAAATTAAATCTTATTTTTTGTGTCATAGAAAAACAATACTTTTGATCTTGCTTGTCATCCAGTCAATTTAACACACTAGAAACAAGGAGGATTGGCTCCCAGAATGCAACATCGATATTCTGTCCGATATATGGTATGGTGACCTTTAACCTCATTCACACGTGACAGGTTCCAGAAACATGTCACATGTAAATAAGGTTAAGGGCCACATACCATACATGGGACAGAATATCGATGTTGCATTCTGGGAGCCAATCCTCCTTGCACTAGAAATAAAATATATCCACACAGTGATATACATTTTCAACCTCAAACAATAAAAATAAGTAAATTTTCCATTTCAGACACATACAGTATAAGAATTATAAAATAAGGGTCCCAATTAAAATACTGATCAAAACTGCAAAATACACATGACACTGGAATTTTTCATTTATGGCTCCCAATATACAATAAATTAATGACACTGTAGGACTGGTCACTGTAAACAACTTGGGCGTATATTTATGTGGTACACATACAGGGTGGGCTAAAAAGGTAACCCAAACAAATCTTAATAACTCTGTCATTCAGCATGGGTTTGAAGTCATACTTGGCAGAATGAAACCTTGTTTAATGATCTTTCATTCTACTGAGTTTCATTGGTCTATTCCCAATACTTTTATTGTGAAAAATAAACTCATGATGAATGACATGAATGACTGAGTAATGAACATATATTTTTTTCGGTTACTTATTTTTAGCTCACCCTGTACATTGTACATGTACCATCTATTATGCTTTGAAGTTACCTAATAATAATAAATGCATGCAATATTGATTTTTTCTTCATCCTAGATTCGTTCATTTGCATAATCTCAAACTTGAAATGCATTATGTTACATAAGCAAAAAGCGATAAAAATTCACAATACGCTATTTTATAAGCTATAAGAAAATTTTCATTTTCACTGCAATCTTGAAACAATACATCTTGATTTGAAATGTGCTTGGAATTTCTCTAATTCCCCTGGGCCCTATAATATGTATGTTGATAAAACCTGTGTAAACTAAAATTAACAGGCTTATAACATGGAAGTCAATGGGACATTACAAATCTTTAATATAAAATTGTTCACATATACAGGTTTCACTTTACATTCTCTATTACACCTGTTAGGTCAATTTAGATTTTGTGGCAGACATACACATGATGAAATGTGTCCATTCACTCAATTATGCTAAGCTTAAAATTGTCATCTATATACAATAATAATTATGACAATTAATTATTAATACTATGGAATTGTGTTTTGCAAGGAATTCTGTTTTTGGAATAGATTGGCACAAAAATTATGGCATCTTTGTTTTCTTTCATTGGGTAGGCACATAGTTCGCTGGAACCTACTGTCACGCTACTTTACTTATTTTCAAACTATGCAACACATCTTTAATTCCAATAACTTTTAATCTTGCTGATATAGGTCTAATTCTATATTCCTATCTTACACTGTTTTAGAAAAGCACAGTTAGCATACGAGAGATTAAAATCAAAATATAAGCATTCCTAATAATATCACCACTACTCATTAAAAGATGTCACCACTTATCATTCATAATAATTTACAAAAATAGCTCGTCTTTTATATGCTAATCTTAATGTCCACAAAGATCGGTTGTCAATTTCAAGAATAATCAATTGCCAACAAATGTTGATTATTCAATTGTTTCATTGTTATTTTCATGTAACTTTTGGCATCAGCACTCATATGTTTTTGCTACACATGGCACTGGTTCCAGTGACTGACACACCCTCGCAGTCCATCGGAAAATACAGTGCACTAAATATAAGAAGTTTTTAACTCATTCCTAAAAAGGAATGATGTGAAATGGAATGTGTTAACATCCCCCCTTCACAATAAGATAGTCTTACTTCATGCTTTTGTGCCCCCCCCCCTGCTCTACACACCTCTCCTGTGTGAGTTTTTATTACCTGTGTAGTCAAGTAGTGGGAGGGGAAGGTTCACAAGGACTTGTAGATGGACTAACAATAAGAATATCACCTGTACACAGGGAGATATGCCGGGTACTAAAATAGCGCTCATGAGTGCACTTTTGCCAGAGTGTTAATTTAATACTTATTTTGTATTAATTGAGTTATCAGCATATCTCCCTGTGTATGATACAACTTGTAATTTACTATACTTGAGCATGGCAAACATGTGATTAACAAATACACAGTCTACTGCACAGTCCAAAAATATGACCAACAAGATGTGGAATTTCTCTACAAGTTGAACCATTTCTTTGGTCTGTGTATTAGACTAACATACAATATGGAAGTATTGTACACTATAATTTATCATCTATAACAACCTCTTTAAATCCTTTCTGTTGAATACATTTATTTACAGTGTTAAGAATGATAGTAACCCTTCTATCAATGGCTGGGAAGTGTTTCTCGGGAAGGATGGGGTAAGCTAGATCACGCTCCATTGCCTTGCGGAAAACCTGACTCAGCGGAGGCCCCTTTTCAAAATCTATGAGCTTTAGTAGCGTGGAGTAGCGCATTAAGCAGCATTGGTAGATGGGCGCCAGAATGTCAATTTCATCTTTCCATGTTTTGCCAAATCTGAAATAACAAATTAGCATAAATAGATACATCGATGCTTCAATTTGTTCTAAAAATAGTGAGATATGTTTTGTGGGTTAAAACATATAGGGTCCATGTACATACCAAATTCTACTCAGGGCAACTAATTCCATAACATGTAATATGACACTATTAAATGAAATCAGTGTGTCGATAAAACAAGGAAATGTGAATATACAATCATTTCATGTTCATACTCTTCCACAAGGAAATCTTTTACATTAAAGGAAAGACGCATCAATCACAAATTCATTATAAAAATTCTGTGGCATATTTGTTTTCATGCAGCTAAAAGGAAGGTTTAATAACTATAATTAACTCTAAATAGAAAGTTGGAAGATTGATTAGAAAATAAAACAATGGGAGAGACACTGGCAAAAATGTAACCATACAATTTGAAAACAAACTTCCTCCAATTATGCTTGTTAACCGAATGGCTTCTATTGACAGGCATGACTTTTGCTTAGAGATACATAGAAGAAGCAATTTTTAGTCCTTTTACGGATTATATTTTAAGCATCAGAGCATTACACTTTCTAAAATTAACCTAATCATAACCTAATCTGCAATTTTTACCATTTTTGCATTTTGAAATGTTTAATTTGAAAATACAATTTTAAAGTTGACTAGAACATCTCAAAAACTGAGCACATGAGATAAACAAAATAGTGTTTTGTTGAAATTTTTTGAAATGGGCCCCTTTCAAAATGTGAGGTAAGAGTCGGTGCCCTATTTATTACACGAGCATCTTATTAATAACTTTTTCTTTTTTTCTAATTTAATTATATCACCTCAAATAAAACTAGATTTTGGAAATTGAACGAAGTTCAATTTCAGACTCCAGATCTAGACTTTTTTTAGCCGAGTCATCCAGAATAAGCCGAGTCATCCAGAATAAGCTGAGTCATCTAGAAAGAGATGGATAAATAAAATAGGAAGGTAGGATAGGATAGAATAGGAAAGAACGATAGGATAGAATAAGAAAGAAGGATAGGATAGAATAGAATAGGAAGAAAGGATAGGATAGGATAGGAAGGATAGGAAGGAAAAGATATGAAGGAAGGATAGATAGGAAGGATAGGGTAGGATGAGATAGGAAGGATGGATGAATTTTTCAATATTTTCTTCTCTACTCTTGACTTTCTATCAGGATACCATCAGATCGATTTTTCTCGAAATTTCAAAACGCTATCACTTCCGAACCGGAAGTCGGATCGAAATTTGGTTTGCAGATTCGGATTCCTGACAAAATTCTACCCCTAATTCATAACTCATACGTTAAATTTGGAGATTTTTTATTTTGACCTACTTTTCGGACACGCCATAACTTCCGAACCGGAAGTCGGATCGAAATTTGGTTTGCAGATTCGGATTCCTGAGACAATTCTATACTTAATTCATAACTCAAACGTCAAATTTGGAGAACTTTTTATTTTGACCTACTTTTCGGACACCATATCTCAAAAGTGGGTCAAAATACTTTCTGACGGCAAAAGGCTAACACTATTAGCATATTCTTGACTACATGTATACACAATTTCGAAGAATATAATTAAAGTGTAGTGTCAGAATCGAAAAAATAAGGAAAACCTATGAATTTGACCTAGATTTTGACCTAGGCATTTCGGTGTCCAAATTGTGAAGCTAGATGGCTTTTGAGGTCTCCTTCTTTTAAATGCTTTGATTATGTGAAGCTGAACTCAGTCTATATTCCGTATTTTTCACTTCAAAAAAATATTTTTTCCCATTGACTTAACATGGGCACCAAATTTAGCGATTTTTGAGTTTTCAAAACGCCATAACTTCCGAACCGGAAGTCGGATCGAAATTTCGTTTTCAGATTCGGAATCCTGAGAAAATTTCCTATAAGATTAATATCCTGGACATTTGATTCGGAGAACTTTTTTTTGGACCTCGTTTTCGGACACTGATATCTCGAAATCTGTTTGAGATATCAAAAAACTAAATCGACCCTAGATTTTCTACTTTTTTATAAGGAACACAATGAAAAAAAACCCGGATCAAAAATATTGAAGGACGACCGAGAAAATCGAAAAAAGTGACAAAGTACTGGATTTGACCTAGTTCTTGACCTTTGACCTAGATAAAAATTTGACCCAATTTCCGAGAAACTAGATCTAGGACCTAAATAGACCATATATAGGACTTGACTCAATATCTTCTAGTTAACGAGAAAACTGGGAAAGAATAATAAGAATAATAAAGAATAATAAAGAATAAGAATACTGACAAAAACAATAGACTCCAGATTGACATCTGGAGTCTAAATAAAGCGCAGACAATCTAAATTTTGGGCTCTAAAATATGTTTAAGCTTAAATTTGACTGACTCAATTGAATCAAGAAAATGATCATATGAGCTAAATGATGTAAAAACAATGTATTGTAACTAAATATGAATATGTACTGTAATTATGTAAATGATGTGAAATAAAATATAGAAAAAAAAAAAAAATCTTATTAATATTGTGAATTGTTTTCTAAACTCAAATTACACATTAAAATTCTGAAAATAATATTTGGAAAATCAATGAGCATAAAAATTGATTTTACTGTACGAAAGCTGATGAATGAAAACTGAAAGATAATCTTTGTTTAAACTGTTTATTAAATGTCAATCTTATTTCTTTCATTTGATTTTTTCATTTCCATTTGCCAATTGTATTCACTTTGCTGAACACAGACAATGCATCACCATTTTTTATTTTTTCTATGATGTGTGAAAATAGTTTATGAGTTAAAGATTTATAATACTGGCACATGTACATGTTTCTGAGTTAAAGATTTATAATACTGGTACATGTACATGTTTCTGAGTTAAAGATTTATAATACTGGTACGTGTACATGTTTCTGAGTTAAAGATTTACAATACTGGTACATGTATATGTTTCTGAGTTAAAGATTTATAATACTGGTACATGTATATCATTTCTTTGAAACATCAAAATGAATTTGGAATGACACGGGAAGCAACTTTTGGTATAGGAAAATCTATTCAACTCATTGCTATGGACAATATTGATGCTTAATTGTCTAGCCATCAAGCTTCATGTGCAGTGAAACCCAAGGCTCTGGACAACATGGAAGTTAAACTAAAAATGATGACTGAATGGACATGTTTCACTTGTAATCTTACTTGATGCAGCCAGCTTAAAAAATTCAATTAAACTCTGTTTTTTGCACTATTAATGTGTTAAAGTTAATCTTTTAGAGGAACGTGACAACCTTTCATAAACAGTGATATTTTATGCAAACACATCAATTAGGATTACGCATTGATTTTTGCTTGTATTATTCTCTTTAAACGGTAAAAATAAATTTACTATATACATACCCTCTGCCATTGTCAAGATGCAAAGGGAATGTCTCGTTGCCATAGGGATCCATTGTTTCATAATGATGTCGATCTAAGTTCCCTACAACCACACATTACTTTTATAAATATAAATCATTTGGATGTGACACCCATAGTAAATGCGTGTTTCGGTGTTTGACTATTTTGAAAATATAAGTTACCATACTGTACTGTATATATTTTAGACAGGTTCCAATTTCAGAATATCTCAAGGGAAAGACTTTTTGAGGCATTTTTTAGAAAAAGCAACAGACCTATTTTTTCTGAATCAGTTTTTCATGCTGATAAAGATATTAAAAGATGACAGCTCAACGGGGTGGTCACGACACTGCATTTTAGCGTTTTTACCCCCCTAGGAAATTATCTTAGGGGGTACTATAATATTAGTTCATAACTCAAAGGATATATAAACTATTGTTCTGAGTTCTACAGCATACATTGTTAGTACAGAGATGAATACTATCCTAAAGTTATAGGTTGATATCTTTGCTGGTTTTGGAAAAATACAATTAATTAGAAAAAAATATGCAATTTTTGTCATTTTTTTCTTGCTTATTTTATATTTGTAGCTTCAAGCAAAATATGATAACTTTAACAGCTCAAAGTAGTATTCTAACAACATTCCCAAGCTATGTTTGATATTGTAATACATCTATTATAGTGATGAAGTACTATTTTGTAATTTTAATATGACTTTATAATGCCCTACCCCTGGTAAATAGAGGAAAGTTGGTGTGGTTTTCTTCTGGTTTTAACATTTTATTGACTTCTTAGTTGAAGATACAATCAATTTTGTCAGTTAACCATGAGTAGCTTTACAATGGTTAACTATTCCCATGAATAGAGGGTTGGGACCTCAAAAGTGGCATCCTTGGGCATCCCTCTTCAGAGCATTTTCCTTATACTCTGATGAAATCTGCAGGGGATACTATAAGAAACCTATATATTAAGAGGTTTTGTCATTCTCTTCATATTTTTAATTCTAAATATGTCTACAATGTGGGATGATTAGAATTATGGTAAAGTAATCTTTTCTATTGTTTTATTGTTCTCTAAAACAGAAGTTGCTAAGGCACATAGATATATAGATCATAGAAAAAATGCTTGGATGATCGCTCTATTTGTCAGGAAATTAAAATGGAAACTGAAAAATGAGTTTCTTCCCACTGAATAGCAATTAATTTGGTGGACCATGGCCGACATGCACAAGAGAAAACGTTTATCAGTTATATGTCATTGTGTTGTTATTTTTTATTTATCGTGGTCTGGGACTTATAACACCTAATGCCGAGTCTTCTCCAACTGCAAAGGAAGGCAAGATTTTAATAATGAACATTCATATATCTCAACAAATATGGCCTAAGACAATGATGAGGAAACTCTGAGGGAAAATTAGACAAAACATTAATGTGAGTGGTCCAAAATTAACACTTACATGTTTTGGAAAAGTTATGCTCTCGGGTGAATCAGTGCTCATTTAAGGATAGTCTGAATCAGGTGAATTTTTTAACTTAAATGTACCCCTCCCCCAAAACCCCCAAATTTTGACGAAATTGTCGAAAAGTTGCAAACAACATTCATTAAAGTTCAATATGGCTATTTCGCTTCTATGTCATAAAGATATGATACGATCTCAGGTCAATCAATAAATTTCACAAGTGACACTCTATCTTATGAAGAAAATACTATCGTATATTTGAATACATGTCAAAAATTTGGTGGAAATAAATTGTGTCACTCCTGATTTGACCTGCAAATGTTCAGGTAAGTTATCACAAACAATTTCAGACAGTTATATCTTTGATTATATATCAAATAGCTCTTGAAACGAAAACTGAATTCCCCTAAGATTAGTGTTCCCCATGTTATTTCCCCTTTGAAAAAATTCATGCTATCCATTGGTTTCAGTTCATTTTGGTCATCCAAATTCAGTGTCTTTAAAGTCCCTGGAGCAATCCACTTTTCCTCTTAGGAAATAGAACATGTCTCAAAGCATATTCTAATTATGCATTCAACACTATAATTAAAGGTTGCATCTTTGGTAAAAACTAGGTCATTATTTTTAGTAAAAAGTATGTTGATTGGGCCATTCCCTTTAATATCACTTAGGTCTGATTAATCATTATATTTAATTTTCTTGAAGATAATGAATAGATCTAAAAGATATACCTATGTTCATGGTCAGAAAATATTCATAATTCAAGTTAGAATTGACATTTTTCCATATAAATGAAAAAGAGATGGCATCATGGGTATTGGTAGAGCTTGGGTAGGGCTAGAATACATGTAAATGTATTGCCAGAGTCACTTAATTTCTTGATTTAAGAAGTAATTCCATTTGGATCAACTTAAAACATCATTGGAATGTAACTTTATGATCTTATTGACATGTGGATTGTGATTTCACATTAAAATTGTGATCCTTGGAAGAGTAAATGAACTTTTTAAGGTTTTTAAGCATTGTGTCCATGGGGATTTAGCCCGACCTTTTTTAGACAACCAGTAAATCATTAGAATTTAAATAACGATAAATTACAGTGCAAATCAAAGTTGTTTTGATAGAGAATTACTCACAGAATTCAAATATGCCATCAGATGGAAGAAAACATTAGTTTTTAATGGTTAAAAATGCAGATCTCCTAAAATCTCATTAAAAACAAGACCTTAACGAGATTTCAAAGCTATATGGAAAAAGGACACTTGTCTGAAGTTGTTTGCGATAACCTACATGCTCCTTTATAACATTATTATGTAAATACTATCAAATGCTTTAGTCATGACAGTTGAAGTAAACTGAAGTCTTGGTATTTAAATGCAGAATCAGATCTATGTAGAGTAAACAAAATTGAAAGCAACATGTACAGTTGACAGTACAGTGTGATGCAACATCGGTGGGAAAGTCATCTTTGGTTAATAAAAAAGATTCTTAGCTACTTTTCTAACATCTGGCTGTGATGTATCATGGCTTAATGAGGACTCTGCTATATGGTCAGATGATGAGAACTAACAGTTTTACGGAACTTTTGCCATGTTTTGCAGATTGTAAATGACCCTTCTGAATGGGTTGTAAAGGTATATACCAGGAGGTATATATGGCTCAAATGACTCGTGCCCTAGTACATGGGGCACTGTAGTACATTACTTGTGCATGATGACCACCAAAGTCTAGTTGCTCAAATGAGATCAATTGATGATTATAATGTTTAGACTTAATGTCAATGTCCTCTCTAGTATGTGATTACACTAGATTTCATTATGATACATGTACTAAATTGAAAATGTACATATAAAATATCTTAAGTCCTATATTCTAGTAATAAATGAATTAGAATGTCACCTAACATTTGATGATGGTATAAATTTATTGATTTGGTGTCTATCAATACATTTTTCTAACTTAATGCTGCAAAATGATTAAATTCACCACATCCACTTTCTTCAATTTTCCAGGGGTAGGGCACTATAAAGTCATATTAAAATTACAAAATAGTACTTCATAACTAAAATAGATGTATTAAAATACCCCATATAGCCTGGAAATGTTTTTAGAATACTACTATGAGCTGTTAAAGCTGTCATATTTTGCTTGAAGCTACAAATATAAAATTGGCAAGACAAAAATTGTGTATCTTTTCCTGTTTATTGTATTTTTTCTGAGACCAATAAGGGTATCAACCTATAACTTTAGGATAGTATTCATATTTGTACTAGCAATGTATGGTGTACAACTCAGAACAATAGCTCACATATCCTTTGAGTTATGAACTAGTTTCATAGTACCCCCTAGAATATTTTCCTAGGGGGGTAAACATGCCAAAATTCAGTGTCGTGACCACCCCGTTGAGCTGTCATCTTTTAATATCTTTATCAGCATGAAAAACTGATCGAGTAAAAATAGGTCTGTTGCTTTTTCTAAAAAATGCCTCAAAAACTTGAATGTTTATGTAATATTCAACAAGTGTTAAAACAACAGTCCGAGTCATATCTCTGTGATTTTTAAGATGCAGACAGGAGCTGATATTGAGTGCAAGGAATGGTGATTAAAATGAATATCAAGAAAAATATGATTATCAATTTATCCCATGATTTTTCTGGAATTCATTTTTTCAAGTTTTTCAAATATCAGGGTGTGATATAACATATATCATATCTTATCCTATGCCAAGTAGAGTTTTAGGGAGATAAGTTGGTAAGATATATCCCTTATCCTGATTTTGAGGTTGATAATATCCTGAACCTCCATATCTCCCGCCATATCTCCCGCTCCAGGGCATATCTTCCCGCTTCGAAAAAAAAATTGAAAAATTAAGAAAAAATTGAAAAAAAAGAAAAAATTTGAAAAAAATAAAAAATTGAAATAAAGAAAAAAAATAGAAAAAATTTGAAAAGATTTGAAAAAAATTAGAAAAATGTGAAAAAATTGAAAAAAAAATTGGAACAAAATTGAAAAAAAATTAGAAAACTCTACTTGGTATAGGATAAAGCAGTTATGTACGGTCGGTTTGGATATTGGGTTCATCCCTCGTGAGATATGCACATCTACCTTCGGTCCCTACGGTCCCTCAGGTAGATATGCATATCTCCCTCTGGATAAACCCCATATCCAAAACCTCCCAGTACATAACCCTTATTTATTTAACCAATATCACAGTTATATCACACAAATGAAGTTGCATATCATTAATATCAAATCTGTTATTCCATCCTCTAATATCAACATTATCAATAGGATAAAAATTGATATTAATAATACGTTTACTGTCTTTTTGATGAAGTAAATATTGATTGTGAACTGATCTTTCATTAAAAGAACTTATGATTGATAGATAAACCTACACATGCGTAAATTCAATTAATTTCAACGTAGAGTCGCTTTGTGACAGATGTGTAAGTGTATAAGAGTGTCAGAAATGAGAATGAGATGTCTTGTAAAGGTTTAATTATAGAAATCAACTTGAATGAGGGATGATAAAACACATGGTATCAAACAATATTTATCTCATACTTAGTATAAAATATGGTGAATAAAGCAGCTCAATCCTATTATTCTATATATACAAATGATCTTGCTTTAATATATTTTAAAGAAGTCTAATTTTATTGGTTTTGTTAAGTCAATGAATATTGATTTCAAAATTACAATCAAAATTAATAGAATCAGGGGATAAAAAAAGGATGAGGTGGAATGGAAAGTTCCCATCTTCAACATGATAAATGTATCAATATGCTACTATTCATAATCTTTTATAAACAATAATATAAACAGATTGAATACTGAACGTGTTACTATAAAAAAAATTTCACAAAATCCTTATCATAAACAATTTTTTGAATAAATGTGTTGATAAAAAAAAGTCATAAAATAACACTTCTTCTACTCGGTACCCTTCTACTTTACCTTGTATGAAATCAAAGACCGCCATGTCCATGAGATCTAGAAGTTGCCGGGAGTTGACATATGGCGTCCTGTTGCGTACACCCTCACAATATGTGTCATCTGTCTCCCAACTGAAATGCAGATTCAAATGATGATCAGATAAACGTTTTCCATGGTGAATGTTAGATTATTTTGTCATGAATACACAGAATATAATGCGTTAAACAGCAATTTAAAACTTAAGTGAAATAACTGAAGTGAAAAAAGATCTACATAACTGTACAATAGGCTTTCAATAGATTGAATGCCAATGACTGTACTCATATATGAGCTATATATAGTCTTGCACCAACACCTTCTGTCCACCCCTTCCATAGCCCCTTCCTCAAGCAACTTCTGGTTAAGGAGTAGTTAGTATAGAGGGGTAGGGGTTAAGACCTTATGCAAGACTAAAACTAATAGTGTTCACAATACACAGTTTTGATGTACAGTAAAACCTGTGTATATTGAACACCTATGGAGCCACAAAAATGTGTTCACTAAAGGTAGGTATTCATTACAGGGAGGGTTATTTATACAGAAGTCAGTAGAGTATGTGCGGTGGAAGGGTGTTCACTAGAGACAGGTGTTCACAAAGACAGGTTTTACTGTATTGTACTTTTAATATTAATTTCCATTATCATCCTCTCTTAATCATGTTTTATGACATGATGAGCATTCTAATTTCAATATAGCAAAGGTATACACATAATATAATGCACTCATGGGATATGATCTAATGCATGTAGATATTATTATTACCATACCATAGGGATATTCCCTAAGTGACATATGTCGTGATAAACTATGGTTTAATCAATTTACAGTTAATAAAAACTTTGCGTAATAATTTTCATAACCTAAAACTTATTCGAAAGAGGAGAAACAGAAAAATCAGAGGCAATTTCTTTTTACACTTTGCATATTTGTTTGTATTTCATACTTGAGTGGGTTTGGGGTAGATATCACCCGGGAATATATATCATATCTGAGGGGCGGGCAGGATATATTGTATATGTCCCGCTCTAGGCCAAAAGCGGGCAGATATAACATATCCATCCCGCTCCCGGGAATTTTTTCAAAAGTTTAAAAAAGTTTAAAAATTTAAATTTCAGAAGTTTAAAATTTAAATGTTACAATTTCATTGTATTGAACTGAAGGAATATTAAGAAAATGTTAAATATAAATTGTGCTTTTACAGTATGGGCCTATCTTGTCATTTGAAAAAAGGTGGTAAAGGTTTTATCTACCCCAAACCCACTCAAGTATGAGATACACCAGTTATGTACGGTCGGTTTTGGATACAGTGTTTATCCTGCGGGAAATATGTGTATCTCCCTCGGTCCCTGCGGTCCCTCGTGAGATATACATATTTCCCTTGGGATAAACCCTGTATCCAAAACCTCCCAGTACATAACCCTTATATACATCAATTATATCAATGTTTAGTGAACAGGCAACTGACACCCATACAGGTGTATATAGTTACACATGATTTGAAGTTCATGCAATGATATTCAAGTCTAGAATTAATTCAACTTTAGAAAAGTACCATCAGGGTCATGCAATGAAGTTCATGTCTAGAATTCATTTAACTCTAGAAGTTTAATAAAATAAGACTTCTATGAGACTACACTCTATGATTTAGTAAAGATGTGTCATTTTAATGGGGAAAATGTTTTAAAAATGTAAACGAGAATGATAGCATAGAAAAGTAATTGCAAAATTAAAATATCTCACATTTCATTTGTAAAATTCTAATCTGTGCATGCTGATTTCAATCCATATTCGTTTACACTAAATAACACTACACTACACTATACAATTTATGAAGTAAGACATTTCTATATTGCCACCTGAACTTTGATCATTCCACACTTTTGACTTAATTCTACATTTCAAACCATATCCATTAGCATTACATTGTAATCTTAGAAAAGCCTAGAGGATGAGAGTCATGAGAATAAAATATATTTCGAGATTATCCATTGCTATAAATACATATTTGAAGGTTGGATTTTCTCATGGGTTATTATACCAATCATGGTGGATTTGTGCTGGTATATTTTGATTAATTGGAGAAACAAAAAACCTGAAGGTTATATCATAGTGACTATTTATAAAGCAAATTCTACTTTAGATCCCAAGGGGTACCAGATTCTAATCTCATGTAAAAACCCAAAATCAACCATTCTAAAATTGGACTTTAATGCTTTAAATAAAAATACTAAAAAATAAAAAAGGCTTGCAAATAGCACAAACAGCACACAAAATACTGAATTTGAGAAACTGTATATTTTGGCAGCAAAACAATAATCAAGCAAGTATGCACATTTCTAATGCATTACATAATACAATTGTTAACCTCAACTGAGGTAGACTGGAGATTGAGACTGTAGGTTGAGGTTTACAGTGTAGGGATATCACTCTTACAAGCCACCAATCAGATTTGAGTATGAATATAAAAAATGGACGGACCTCAAATAAGTAAACAAAGTCAAAATCTTACGCTGCTTTTCTGCGTCTACTATATGAGCGTCGCCAAGGATGGCGCCATGTTTCTCTGTCGGCTAATTTATCTGGGGGTAGGAATGCAGCAAATGATCCCTCTAGCAGGTCAGGGTATCCGCACACAGCGTGATTCGAATCACAGTAGTATGAGCATGAACCATGGAAGCATACGTTATTTGCTGGAAATGAACCAAAAGCATAAGGTTGTTTACCTAAGACAATATGTAAATTTCCAAAATGTTATATTTTCTTTTCTGTTAATATAAAAAGAATGAATGTGTGAAAAATGTTTCAAGACAAATAGTCTGTTTCCAAGGTAACATAATCTTCATTCCCATTGCCATAGTAACTGTAACTGCCAAAAATAAAAGTAGTAACATGTCTACATGTTACAAGTCCTCTTATTTGTTTCTGTATACCCAGATGTAATGTACTTGTATGTACTCTATTTCTCCAAGCGCATTACTATATTACAAACACCTATATAGTACTTACAAGGAGAAAAGAAGAATGTTTTTGCTAGCTTTCTATTGGCCAGTCGTTTAATGTCATATGTCATGTTGACTGTACGGCCAATGGTAGGTGGAATTCTTCGGAAATCAAACACTCTAAAAAACAAGAAGCATAAATGATATGATAATTTCAGAACACAGGGACTGATCATGTTCACTGCACTGAGAAAATGTCAAACTGACTATACAAGTTAGTCCACCCCTGTGGGGTTTGAACTTTGTTTTTGGTTAAGGAACTTGTTGCGATTGAGGAAACCAGGTACTGTTACTTAATTCAAGTTTATCTATATTGTGACTATACTTTTGAAGCACCCGACATAACCTGAGAGGAATTTCATATCAATATTGCATGTTACAGTATCATAGCATCAAAACTACCTAAGCATGTGTAAAGCCCAGGGAACTCTTCACGCAAGAAAATGCAATCTATCTTCATAAATTAATTCCTGCTTCAAAATAATATTCTTTAATTGTTAATAATGACTCTGTTACTATTAAGTTGTTCTTCACACCTACTCCATTGGTTTGTGAGTGCATATTATTGCTCTTTTGGAGGTTTACACACATGATAATCAAATGCATAACATGCATTTCAATTCCTGCATGCATTTCCTTTCCTGCATGCATTTCCTTTCCTGCATGCATTTCCTCTTTTATAATGATTTACTTATATAACATATTTGAAGATACATACATCAGAAGATCTTATTATCAATGCAATTTTTAAAAGTTAAGGTTTAAATTATATTCTATTTAAATCCAATCACTGTTAAATTATATATCTGCTTCATATGGACATAGCCTTTTGCAGATTATTGACATACCTAGACAATGTTTCATGTTGGGAGATTGTATATGTTAATGATATGATTGAATCTATTGAATATAGCGTCATCTATTGATGGTTTGTAGTACCATTTAACATTGCTCTGAGTAGTTAAACAAGTTGGTGTGGATGATGTTTAAATGGATGATGGTCCACATACTAGCAATGGAAAAAGTGAACACTAACTTAGAACCAGTCAAAGGGTAATATACTCATCCAAGAACTCAGGATAATGAAAGAAATGGTCTAGTTACTAAACCCCATCATAGGCTTTTATTCGACTATAAAACTGATCTGATTGAGATTAATCAGATGATAATGTATTTACTTGTTATATATAATTTAGTCCCTATCCCCATTGCGAATACAAAAGGCTGGATGAAACAATGAAATGCTTATGCATTATTTATGAACGTTCTTTTTGCAGCTAGATTAAATAATGACACACTGCATTATTTCCATCAGTTTGGGAACATAGGGTGTAATTAATTTTATAGATTTTTAGTTCTGTTTAATTAGCTTTTTCAATATGTTTATTGATCACATATGTAAATCATTTTCTTGGGCATAAGGTGCCAAATGCACACTAGCATTGTTTTACTATGAACAATTGTTGACCTCCCCTAAGGTTGACAATAACAGGGTAGCAACTATTACACAACTGCACATCAGGGAATTTGAACCAAATTTCAGTCAGGCAGTTTTAGATATTGTATAATATGCTCTGATTGAATTATAACATTTTTAATTTTCTGGAAGTCATGCCCTCAACCCCCTAGTATGTTAACCCTTGCCGTCCCATTCATTGCCTTTTAGCATAGCGCTCTTATGCACTTAAGCACCATGTAATTTGAAACAATTTCAGTCAGATATTTTTAGATTCAGATATATCAGAAACACTCAGATTTCACCAAACAATATCTAAAATGTTGACTAGAGTCTTACACATATCACCTACCTATCTAAGTAAAAGGCAGCGATTTCTGCATAATGTCTCTCATAATCTGAGAAATAATAGTGATTATAGTCTGTTTCTACATCTCTCTGAAACCTACAAATAGACAGGAAATCTTTTAAATAAGACATTCACATGCACAAAGTCACCACCTGCCATTTGTTACAGATGCCAACTGCTAATCGCTACAACCACATAATGCTGAACGCAGTACATGAGAAAGTTTGAGACTATAACAATATGTCACCAATATGGTGGTGATATAAAAGCAATATTTCAAGATTAACATATGTAACATATGTAAGTGTCCTTGTATGATCGACCTTATAAAACACTAGAAATAAATAGAATCAAAAGACAAGAAGATATCAATAAATATAAAAGAAAAGAAGAAGCGCGAACAAACTTTCAACATGATTGTGTTCAAGCTGTCTCCCAAGGACAAATGAACATAGAGTTTAAAAAAGTGCCCGCAATTGTACTTATTCCAATATGGTTATTCCAAAGTACTTATTGTACTTATTCTATGGTACTTATTCCAAACTACTTAGTGTAGTTATTTAAAAGTACCTATTGGACTTATTCCAAAGTTCCTATTCTAATATACTTCTAATACTTTGTACTTATTCCAAGGTACTTATTCCAAAGTACTTATTCTAATGTACTTATTGAACCAGACAATAACAGATGTCACTTTATTTAACATCTTCATAGATAGTTAGATCTCAAATTCAGATTATGTACATGCAATTGTCTCCCTCAGGAGCAAACTTCATGAAGTATTAAGCTTCAATACAACATACTTCTCCCTCAGGAGCAAACCTCATGAAATATCAAGCTTCAATACAACATAATTCTCCCTCAGGAGCAAACCTCATGAAGTATTAAGCTTCAATACAACATACTTCTCCCTCAGGAGCAAACCTCATGAAGTATTAAGCTTCAATACAACATACTTCTCCCTCAGGAGCAAACCTCATGAAGTATTAAGCTTCAATACAACATACTAACTGTAATTCTCTTTGATTTTGCCACTGTTTTAATGTGGCAATTTTAGAACAGAAACAAAATCAAAAATCCACAAAAATCATTTTTATAATACTAAATATTCACCAGTCAGAGGAATTATAGCAACACTCACCTTAGACAATATTGCCAAATTAATGACAGTTACGATAGTTAGTTATATACAGTAAAACCTGTCTACCCTGAATGTCACTGGGTTCAGCCAAAAGTGCTCAGACTCAGGGCCAGGGGTCTCTTTTTGGAACCTTGGTAACTTACGATTTGGTTCTAGTCATTAGGCCTATTCATCAAAAAGCACAAGATGGTTTTCCTAGAATCCTAAACTATGATCGTATCAAAAACGAACTGCAGATTAGCAGGTGTTCACATTTCAAGGTTTCTCAATATGTGTGTCAATGGGAGAAAACAAATTTGGGACTGAAAAAGTGCTCACATTGAGAGGTGTTCAGATATATACAGGTTTTACTGTACATAAAACATTTGATCTTACCTCATAGGTTTAAATAGGGCTTCTCCATCATTCGAGAACTCCATAATCAACTTCAATTGGGTACCTCCACTTTTTTGTTCTGAAAACACATTCATTCTTACATCAGCCATGTAAGGAAAATAACTCTTTATCAGATGCTGGAGGAATATTTAAATCCAGATCAATTGTACAAAAAGTGAATATTCTGTAAATAGAGGTCAGTTCGGTGTTTAACTTTAAAATCATTTTAACAACATTCTAAATTATTTACAGGTACATTCTCCCCCGTACCCCCCTTTTTGGGGCTCACTTCGATCGCAGTAATGCGAACCAGAAAAATCGCACCCCTTGACAATTGCTGGCTACGTCCCTGAACCCTCAGTGTAAACATACTTCTAATCATGAGATATAATCTAATCTAAAAACTGAACAAAAAACTTAATTTAAGCATAAATGAAATCAGTTGGAGAGAAGGATTGCCTCAATTTGCCTGTTTATATTTGCCTCACTAAATTCTTTACCTTGGCTACACCTTTGAGTGTACAGTAGTTATAATTAAGATTCCACACATTTATAATAATGAACAATTCAATATCTGTACTCATCTATATATCTATTGTATTAATCAAGTCTACTTCCTTGAAAACAATACAAAACATATACAATCAATAGTAGTGCCATGGAAACAGCCATAAGACATCTAGTATTATGTACCTGGGTCTGCATAACAAAACATTGCTCAGAGATATTTGCGTTACTATGCCAAACAACAATATCTAGTATTTGGCACTATCTTCTCACATCTTCAGTTTCTATCCTTAAGCACAGAAACACCACGACCTAGCAAAATGTTTCTTATGTGTATCACATTTGTGGCAAACAAAAATAGGAAATAATTGATTATGTGGTTGTACGGTATTTATCAAACATTTATCATTTTTTCCATTTCCTATACCAGAGTATTTTTATGAACATGGACATTTATAATTGTTGATATGAGCATATTCTGGGCTTTATAATAGACAAGGGTTATTTACTTCTTAGTCTTATATATTTTATACTTTCTATATATGTTAAGTTTTATGTGCATGTTTTTTATATTCTTGCATGCATTCTGTATTTCATTATATATTTCTGTACTTAATTGTACACATTCTGTACTTTATTGTATACATTCTATACTTTATTGTATACATTCTGTACTTAATTGTATACATTCTATACTTTATTGTATACATTCTATACTTTATTGTATACATTCTGTACTTTATTGTAGATGTTTCTGTACTTAATTGTATACATTCTGTACTTTATTGTATACATTCTATACTTTACTGTATACATTCTGTACTTAACTGTATACATTCTGTACTTTATTGTACATATTTGTACATTATACTTTATTGTATACATTCTGTACTTTACTGTATACATTCTGTACTTTATTGTATACATTCTATATGTTATTGTATACATTCTGTACTTTATTGTAGATATTTTGTTCTATATTGTATTCTACAGCTTCTGTATATATTGAATTTGATCTGTTGTTTATAAAACATATGATCACTAGAATGCCACATCATACAAAAGCTTCCACAACTTAAGGTATGGTGATTGTAGAATTTTTTAAGCAATTCATGTCATTGTATCCTAAATGAAACCATATAGTTGTGACACTCACACATAAAACAAGCATCCTCAATGTCAAGTGAAGTTTGTAGAATTTATTACAATGGTTTAACACAATGCAATGAACATTTCATGCCACTAACATCTTTATTTTGTTCAAATTAGAAACACAGACAATAATGTTCAAGCTAATTAGAGGCCTGTCAATTTTCCCACAATTACTCAGCATTAGGTTTCCATTGGATACAGTTGTTATATCCGCTTCACGCTAAACGCTACATATATGGATTGTTTTGTTCTCTTGAATTGTAAGATGATATGTAATGAAGAAGATTATAATTTGTATATTACTCAATATATGATTCATACTGATGAAAACTGTTGATATCTTACATAAAAAGTGCTGATATATTAGACAGGATTTTCTTACTCGGAAGTCATTGTTTGTTGTCCTTGTTACTATAGTGTTGCCATGTGAGTAATGTTTGTCATATTATCTCCTAAAGGAGTAGTATTTCAATGCATTAATCTTACAGTGATCTCCACAAGATATTTTCTAAAGTGGGTGCAAAATTCTCATTTTCACACCAAAATTGGTCAAAATATGCCCATTTTTCATAATTTTTCTCATTTCAAGTGGGTGCAAATGGGAGATCACTGTCTTATCTCCCATGAAGCCATTCGCATAAGAAAACTTTAGACCGCTTGTGGGATGAAGTTATATCGCCATAGCAATAAATTATTTTTTGACATTGTTAAGGTTCAATGGCATAAGTAGATTTACCTGGAAGTATTTCAACTGTTTCATTTAAAATATTTAGTGATCATGGATGCAGTGTGCATTCGAAACATCTAAAACAAAAAATGAATACTAATAAAAGAAACATGTAAAATTATTTTCAAGTAAAATTGGTTCTGGCTTTAAACAACAGTCGACAATATGGCAGGATCACTCGCTTGATCCTATGATATCTCTAATAGTGTAGGATTAGTTGGAGCAATTATTGCTGTTATCTGATAGCCTGACAATCAAAGTGTCAAAATGCCAATAATCCAAATTATTTCATTATTTCTACTTTTATGAATGATCATGGTTTAAAAGTTAAGTGACGGCAATATATGAGAGATTACTGTTAAGCTGTGATTATGCATATGATTGATTGGAGCCATATGCTACACCCTGATTGGAAGATTTAGATGAGAAATGTGCCATATAGATGAAAAAGCATATTTGTATGAATTATACAGGGTGTCAAATAAGTCCCGTCCCCCCCCCCCCTCTAGAGCCAAAACCAAGATATATGGTACCAAGTGTGATGTATCATTGGAAAGGTCTTTCAAAGTAACATTGATTGGCGTATATCTGACTCTTGTCAATCAATCTCACAAATTTTTACATTGTATCAATTGAGGTGACCATAGGCCTAGAAACATGGGAATTGGGCGTATTTTGCAGGAATTTAAGAATTGGGTATAGGAAAAGTCAAAGGACCTAAAGATGACTACATACGTATATGGCAATGAATTAAACCAATTTCTGGATAGGGTTAGATGTGTAGAAAATAGAGGTGCAAGGATAGTGGTGAAAACCTTTTTGTAACAAGTGGAATGCAAAAAAGATTAACTTTTTTACATATTTTTGAGGTCATATCCTTCTCACTTTGACGCAAAAAAGCTGCTTAAGAATTAGAAGGGTGCACTAACTATGAAGGACATCATGAAAATATTGGTGAATTTCATCCGAAATACTTGGGAGTTGGTGAGTTAACATAACTTTGGATGATCTTTCCAATGGTATATCACACTAGATACCATCTATTAAGGTTTTAGCTGTAGCAGGGGGGACGGGACTTATTTGACACCCTGTATAAGAGATACACAGTACGCAATATCCCTAAAAATCAAATTGGCAGCCTTACCGAGCATGCCTCAAAATCCGCCAAGCATTTTTCAGGGAATGTACAGATGAGAAACACGAGATAATAAAATATATACTCAATTAACACCATAATTTGTTTTTCATATGTTTAGTTATACATGAGTGATTGTATAAAGTTTATTGAAATAAACAAAACATAAATTCTATTGAAGGATACGGCATATTAAAAAAAATGATGAGATGTTTATTTGTAGTCGATGATTTAGTTTATTTATTTAATAGTTTATTTATTTGATGACCTCATTGGTTGATAGAGAAAAGGCTGTCACATCAACGACTTTACTGTAATTGAAAAATATTATTTTCATTTCGTTATCTGATATGAATTTAAAATCAATAAAAAATTGATTATATTATACTATCACAACAATAATATGGCTCTGTGGATGATTGTGACATAAAAACAATATAATTCAACATATGTTTCATTCCAGTAAAAGATTATCTATTAACTATGTGGAATCGTAATTCGACAACTACTGTATTGCCGCAGTCACATTTGATTTCTGGCAACCATATGGCGGCCGTAGCTTCCCAAAATTGAGAGAAATATGCAGCATAAAATATAAGGATAAGCAATACGATGTAGATTTTCTATCGGCCATCGTGTGGCCACCCTAGAGTAAATGTGACGGAGGCTTGAATTACCGATATGACATGACAGATAACGCCAGTTTTTCTTTACCTGTTTTTCTTTATGTGTTTAATATATTATGCTGAAAATTGTCTTTGATAGGTTATGTTCATATAAACCCTATTATTATCTATTATTATCTATAATTCTATAATTTGAAATACCAGAGCATTGCATTCTTATATAATTAGATTTCAACTGTTCCTATATAATTTGGATAATAGATTATGACTCTATCATAATTGAATCAATTGTATAATTTAACACCAATTGCCTTTATTCACATAATCTGGAATATTAATCTGATCAAACCTGTCAAACTAACTTTAGTTTCATTGTGCCTGCAAGCTGAAAATTTCAGACACAAAAGACTAAAGTTAGACAGGCAGAATATGGGTTAGTCTTGTATCTAGCTGATACCCCCCCCCTCAATACACACACAGGGGCTTGATGTAAGATTTACTAGTTTGAAGGCATTTACACTGTATCTATGAATGATATTGTTACCTTAATCACTTTAGCCGATCATCAATAATTCTTCACCCGGATCAGTAGAAATTGGGAATGTAAATTGAATCTTGCTAAAAATGTTAATTATCCAAAATACTTATCATTTCTCCATTTTTCATCTGCATGATATTCGTTTTGATTTATATAACTGTTGAGATTAACATATTAAGTTTATATATTTATTTTCTTCAAATACAAGAAAGGGCCCTAATTTTTTCTTGAAAATCATCATTAGCGCTTGAGGGGGAAATAATTAGACCTGTTTTTGAAAAAAGCAACTTTATCAAATATAAGGGCCTCAAAATAGGCTATCTATAGTAAATAACCTTTGTATGCCCTGTTCTTACTGAGCAGATATTATGTGAATATATGCCCCAGATTTGAATATTTTTTATCAACTCTAAGCATATCAGGCTTTTCAACAAGTGGGTCACTATACAGATTTTTACATGTGTTTAAGATATACATGAAAGTATAAAAAAATATCTTAATGTTCTTAGATTAAAAACTTATTTACAAAAAATACAGAATAAGTGTTTATATACATAGACTGAAATCTGAAACATATTTATTATTAACTTGTATGAATCACTAACTGGTAAACAAATTATGCATTACTCGTAGATATAAATAAATATTCTTGTCTCATATATTTTTGTCTCCTTTTAGCAGGAACTTGTCAAATGCAAAATGTCCTGACCTGGCACAAATCAAACAGACATATTTACCTGTCCCAATAATCCGTTTAGTTTGGAGATCTTTAATTAGGTTATTAACATTGGGGTCATCCTTCCTATACAGGCCATACTCATTTATGTGATTGTGGAACAACTCCCACGACGTAAGCTTAATCCTGAAAATACAAAATTAGTCAACTTTACAATGCGTTTTGGAAAATATAAAAGCGTTCTACGTAGACTAGCTCCTTGGTTGAATCTTTTATCCCTTTTCTATTACTATTGAAATCTTTAAAAAAGAAAAAGGGCAACAGGCTGTTTCCAGATAACTGGTATATATAGAGTCAGGAAAGGACCTCCCGTTTTCTCTTAAAGGAAAAGTCATATTATATGAGTTTAATTAGGTCAGATGAATCAATTTATTGAACAGCTTCCACGTTCAGTTCTAATTATATCTATTATCAAATAGAATTGACTCCATTGGGTTTAAATGACTATTTCATTTGACCTTTAGTACATCTTGTAAAGCCATATCAACTGTATCCCATATGACCAAATTTCAACATAATATCAAAATCAATACCTTTAGTTAAAGAAACATAAAAGTGGACAAAAACAACAGAAAAATGTTAAACATGATAACTGATAAAACATCAAAACATACAATGGTATTTGAAAAGACATAAATGTTGAAATCAACGTTGTATACCCTCAAGCAATTAGCTTTTGTTGTTTATAGATAAAATAATTATTTTTGCTTGTGCCTACTGATGTTTTTGTAAGAATTTATCGAAAAGCTATGTGTAACAGATGAACTTAATGAAAGCTTTAATAAAAGAAGAATAGAACAGCCAAATATAAATGAAAATACAGTTATGAGCGGTCACATATTGTTATAGTATCAAACTTTTTTGTGGGTGGCATTCGGTGGTTTGTGTTTGGCATTCGGTGGTCAGTGTTCAGTATTTGGCATCTGTTACAAATGGCAGGTGATATTTTGCACGTTAATGCCTTGTTTTCAATTTGAGTCTGTTGCAGTGTTGTTTATTTATTGGACATAAAATATACATCTGACAAATGCTGATGGCATGTCTAGTTTCATTAGCTAATGATTTCTTACATGGAACTTTCAGAATAGCTCTTTGTTCTCACTTTATCTAATAATTATATTGAGGTCCCTTTCCGGGTTATGATGTACAAATGAGGCCCCCGATACCATAAAATAAATTAACCTTTCCATGTATGTCTTATGAGGATATTGGCCTATTCTATACGAAATTACCAGAGTTCTAATGGTTTAAAATAGGGGTTTTATTAGGGGCAACTATTGGGCTGATATCTTGTAAATGTGTAAAACTTGACAGAAGTGAACGATAACTTCTGATTGGAATCTACTCTAAGTGTTAATATCAGTTCAATTATATGCCAAGTTTCTCTCGTTTCAATGAAATGAATTGTTTCAAAGTGACAATTCATAGTACTTCATGACTGAATAATTTCCTGCACTTGATTATTTCACGAAAATAAAAATATTTATTTCAAGGTAGTCTACAAATGTGGAGATATCTCTGAAGTATTGATATATTTTTTATTGACTGCATCTTCTAACAGTCTAAATACAAGCATGATAGTGAACACCTCAAAAAGTAATATTCATTTGAAACAGTATTGTTCATTTGAAAAAGTATTGTTCATTAGTACTATATCTAGTAGTGTTCATTTGAAACAGTTATGTTCAATTGAAAAAGTATTGTTCATTCGTACAAGTAGTGTTCATTTGAAACAGTAATGTTCATTTGAAAAAGTATTGTTCATTAGTACAAGTAGTATTCATTTGAAACAGTAATGTTCATTTGAAAAAGTATTGTTTATTAGTACTAGTAGTGTTCATTTGAAACAGTAATGTTCATTTGAAAAAGTATTGTTCATTAGTACTAGTAGTGTTCATTTGAAACAGTAATGTTCATTTGAAAAAGTATTGTTCATTAGTACTATAAGTGTTCATCTGAAACAGTAAGGTTCATTTAAAAAAGTATCCTTCATTAGTATAAGTAGTGTTCATTTGAAACAATTATGTTCAATTGAAAAAGTATTGTTCATAAGTACCAGTAGTGTTCATTTGAAACAGTAATGTTCATTTGATCAAGTATTGTTCATTAGTACAAGTAGTGTTCATTTGAAACAGTTATGTTCATTTAAAAAAGTATTGTTCATTAGTACCAGTAGTGTTCATTTGAAACAGTAATGTTCATTTAAAAAAGCATCGTTCATTAGTATAAGTAGTGTTCATTTGAAACGGTTATGTTCAATTGAAAAAGTATTGTTCATAAATACCAGTAGTGTTCACTTGAAAAAGTAATGTTCATTTGATCAAGTATTGTTCATAAGTACCAGTAGTGTTCATTTGAATCAGTAATGTTCATTTGATCAAGTATTGTTCATTAGTACCAGTAGTGTTCATTTGAAACAGGAGATAATGAGTGCTTTGGTTTCTTTGTGGGCTGAAATTGCTTTGAAAGGAGGACACAGTGAGTTAAGACATAGTTAACCCCTTTAAAGGAATAAGTGATTCCTCTTCGATAAAGTGGAAAACAATATTCCCCATGATATTTTCCCAAATTGGGAAAACTCATGCAATCCATTGCTTTCAGCTAATTTTGGTCACCCATAATGGCTATCTTTAAAACCCCTGGAGAAATTACTTATTCCTTTAAATTTAATTGTGTGTCAAAACGCAACATATTGATGCAACAAAAATTAGAAAAGCAGGGGTGGAAGGGGTTGAAAATCAGGACAACATTTCAGAAAAAACGTGTGGGTGGATTGTTTGCATCTTCCCTGTCTCAAAGTCAAAATTATTTTATCATCTCTATGAGTGCTTTTCCAGGAGATAATGCATAGGCCTAACATATGCACCTGTTTTAATCCTGAGAAAATGGCCAAAATCCAACATATGACTGTCCGAAATATGTTGCGATACTTTCCCTCCTCCTTTTGTTTCATCAATGTTTTCAGACTCTATACAAGCACTGATAAGAGAGTCTGACAAATCATTACATGTATTTCAGAGTAGAGGGATACCAAGGAGGTCTTCATTAACTAATTAATTGGCGAATGACGGCAGATGTCTTATATCAATCTTGCAAGAAAACAGGTTTTATCTTCCTTGTACAATAAAATATTTGAATTATTTAACATGTTTCATTTTCTAGATCAAATGGAAACAGATTCAGTATCTGTGATATTCTGCATTTGGACAATATTTCATTTGGAAAGAGTATTTGGAAAGAGTTGGGAGGTTTTTCAGATTGACTAAACAGTTCAAGTTGACCCCAGTACCCCTAACTAACAATTTAAAAGACTTTGAAGTTCTTCTTGGCTCCGTGGACTAATAATTATATTAGGTCTGTTCTCTTTTGTTGTAAAAATGATAGCATGCTTCAAGGCATCTATATCTCTTCGGGTGATTATTTAATGGAAATCAAGGCTTTCTATCCTTCCCATTATCCTTTACCTCTTCCCACATAGATGGGACAAACAATATGCTCAGGCCCATACCCAAGATTCGCCAAGGGGGGCAAAAAATTCAAGGGGCTTCACTTTTGACAATTTTGGCCCAAATATGGCCAAAATCACTAATTTTGGTCCAAATATGGCACAAATCACTTGAAAAGTACTCAGAATAGTAATTTTTGGCCAGGTAGGGGGGTTGGCTTGATGGTTCAAGGATCTTCATTCACTCATTGGATTAACCTGAATCAAGCTCATATGAATATTAAGCACAATGTACCTATATACTATGAGGATGTCTTCATGATTGTGTTTAACATCAACCCCTTGACGCATATGCAGTGTTCGTAACAGAGAGAACCAACTATTAGTGCTGGCCACATTCCCAAAATGAATTACAGAATGAAGTTATAAATGTATTCCAAACTCAATTAAAAACTCTCCCAGGATATTTATATTGATATATCCTGGTTACATGTACAACTGTACATAATTGCTCTGTCTATACCTCTATATTATCTCTCATTATATTAAGTACTACCTCATTTCTACATAATTTGATATTTGATGCCTATATAATTATTAACTTAACTCCTTGGTATTTTTTTTTGTCTTGTTCAAAACATGATATATATGAAACTCATTCTTTGTAATGCCAACCCATATATTCCCAATGTTAATTGCTTTAGCAGTGGCCCTAAGGTAACCAAACATTATTTCGACCATTATCTAATTTGACAAATTAGGTTAGGGATTCTCTCACTAATATGTCATTGTTTTTATCCAATGGGAAAACAGAATTGTCATTTCTCCTCATTCTTAAACTACATATGTTACAGGACAAAAAATGTGATGGGTATTTTCCATTTCAGGATGGGCCATTTAGGACAGGAAGGCCACAAGCCATGAAGCAGTTAAACAAGAGGCAATGATAGGTTTAACAGTGGCTTAATACATTTCCTTTCTTGGAATTTCTTATAATATAGAGAGCGCTTTTAAAAATTGCTATCTAGCGAGTGCGAGAAAATATGAAATCATCACTACCTGCCATTTGTTACAGATACCATGCCAAAAGAACTATAAATATTCATTTAAAATGTATCCACATTTCTTCAAATCCTCGCTAATGCAAAACCTCGAAATGTGAACACCTCCTAATCTGAACGCTTTTAGCTGGTCACAATTAATGGGGTTCAAACTGGACAGAATTTACTGTATTTAGAAAGCATGTATGGTTAGGCTCCATGGTTGTGATAATTGGAAGTATCCCCTTTAGGCTAACATAACACCTGAGTCTCTATCTTTCCAATTAACATGGGAGCCAATGGAATAAGTTAAATGTTAATAATCAAAGGTCAATACTCAAAGGTACATCCACATGATGAAAAATGAGAAAATGCCAATTTCCAATGACATCTCCCCAAAAAGTTCTGAACGACCTTCACCCTTTTCATACAACAGAAGACATTTTCTTTCTTTGAAGGTAGCCCAGAGTACATATAGGTGAAAATTTTTAAGTACTTTAAAATAAAAGTACTTTAAGTTGAGAACAAATAGTCTTGCGTCATGCCCTTTTGACCTTCCTACCATACATACAAACCTGAATTAGATGGGGGAGACTTGAGAGACATGTTGCTAGACTAGCATACAAAGTAGTAACATAAGT